ACTGTGCCCCCCTTCTCTCCCTAGTGTCAGCATCTGTCTCGCTCGAACCGTTCTCGCTCTGTCTCGTGCAAGTGGTACCGATGCGTTTTACTATACAGAGTGTGTCAAAAGTAGGGAAACCTTTCGTCATCTAAGAAAACACAAATAGTACCACTAGTGTTTTACCGAAAAATTTCATGTTTGAAGGCTGTACCGGGGATTTGATATGTGATAATTTGGAAATTTAGAAACAAGCTGATATAAATTTTTAAAAATTTATAAATATGGTGATACTGAAATTTGATTATTTAAAACAATGATAATAAAGAAATTTAAAAATGTGGAAACAGTAATATAGAGATTTGGAAATGAATAAATATGGTGATATAGAAATTTGAAAATACAGAAACCTGATGACATAGAAATTTTATTTACAAATTTGATAATTTATAAAATTAATAATTCAATCATATCATGCTTTCTCTAAATATATCATAAACTCTAAATTAGGTGATCGCAATTTTTGTATAATCAAAATATTAATTATTATTTTCTAACATTCGAAAATTGAGATTTTTGACACGCTCTGTACAGTTTCTCCACTTTTGTTCACAAATGGTCTTTTCGTAACGCGTCCTTCTCTAGCGGCTCGCTAGTAAACCGTTTCTCGACGCTTTCCTTCTGTTTCCATATATATATTTTTGTTTCGTTTTTATTGCCTCCGACTCCTTACCTTTCTTTCGTCTATGTACTTGTCGCCGACACTGGTGGGCAGCGATGGGTATGGTAAAATACCGTACGAAGAAAATCGAGTTTTCTATACGTATGAAATTATGTATGCATAATCCGACGTGCGAATAGGATATATGCGCCATAGATGCATAGTTATTCGAATCCGCAGATATTCGGATTTAATCACATTATTATCTGAGAATATTAGCATGTAAGGGAATTCGAATCTAGGGATATTTGAACCTATTGATATTAAAATACAAAGGTATTATGAACTATGACTATAGAAATATTTACATTTAGATATTTTATTATTAAAGGATATCTAGGGATATTTTACTCAACGGATATTGCAATCTAGGAATATACCTATCTAGGGACATTCTTATTTGCTTATATCCAATACATAATATATGGATTATTATAAAATCCAATTTCTGTGTATAGATACGTAACTGTCTAGGGATATTCGAATTTAGGGATATTTTGGCTCGGCAGTAGTCCTATCTAGGAATATTGGAAATGGTGAATATTCTACACTAGAAATGTTTCAACCTGATCCTATTTGCATCTAGGGATTTTGGCAATAGTGAATATTTGTATCTAGGGATATTTTTATGTGGTAGTATTCGAGTCTAGGGATATTAGTAATGACGAGTATTTTACTCTAGAGATGTTTCAATCTGACCCTATTTGAATCTAGGGATATTGGAAACGGTGAATATTTGTATCTAGGGATATTTTTATCTGCTGTGTTCGGCACTAGGGATATTAATAACAGCGAATGTTTTACTCTAGGAGTGCTTAATATAATTCTGTTTGAACCTAGGAATATTGGGAATAATGAACATTTTTATCTAGGGATATTTTTATCTGGTTGTATTCGAATCTAGGGATATTAGTAGCAGTGAATATTTTACTCTAGGAACGCTTAATATGTATGTGTTTGGATCTAGAGATATTGAACTGTCTAGTATTCTTATCTAGGGATATTTTGATTTGGCTATGATCGAGTCTAGGAATATTGTAAACGTTGAATATTCTACTCTACGGACATTTTAATCTGTCCACACTAAATTCTAGGGATTTTCGAATCTAGGGATGTTGTAAACAGCGAAAATCCCTATCTAGGAATATTTCAATCTTGTTATATTCGAATCTAAAGATGTTGCGATCGAAAAGTATAGTAACCAAGGAATATCCCGATCCAGTAATATTTCGAACTGTAAATAATTAGTCCTAGTGATATTTTGATCTGCTTTCGGATCTAGAGATATTCGCATTTAGGTATATTACAACCTAGGATATTCAGAGCTAAGAAAATTGTAATAAACAAATGTAATATAAGAATGTTATAATCTAGGGTGTTAGGCGTATAATCTAGGGATATAAAAATTTAGTGGTACAAGAATTCAGAAATAAGATGTAAGAATAGGGTAACATAGGTATAAGGAATGTAAGTATAAGGAACAGGAATATAATAAAGATGTAAGGGTGTTTAGGGATTTAGGTACCTAACGGTACAAGGATCTACCGATACAGGGATCTAGGAATTTAGAAATAGATGCTTCACATAATACTCACACTCACCTCTATTGTATGGATAAATAGCTAAGAATGTAGAAATATTCTGGACATATGTTTCGTTTTAATACCATAATTAAACAAATTTAAAAAACGAATAATTAGATTAATTGTATTGACTATCAGTATTAAATAAAATGTTAATCGATGTCCAATTCTAAACTCTTAATTTTAACGATCCAAAATTAAACCGTAAAATAATCGTTTTATCGAACGACATTTCATTATATCCGCCGAAAATAGAGAAGTAATTCGGGTTATTTATTCGGAGTCGAGTATCAGGACGAGTTTGCGGTTTAAAAGGTTGGACACGATAAATCAGTGCGTCGACTTTGTAATTTACCTGAAGGGAAATAGTTTGGCAGCGACTTCAATCGGATCTCATTGAACACGAAATTAAAGAGACCGTCTGTATTAGACAAGGGTTGACGGTAAACGATGCTCAACTAAACATTCAATCTAATTTTCGAACGAATCCGTGCTTTTCCAGTTTCCATATATTTTCCAAACCACCGTCCTACGCTTCAAACGCTCGGCACTTTTTTATTAATACGTCCGGTTTTATTCGACGAAATATCATTATCGTAACCACTTGTTTGAATTTATGAAAATCCTCGTGTTTCCGTGCGAGTTTTAAAAGTATGGATAGGTATATATAGCTCAGAATTTGCCCTTATACCTGGACCCTACCACTTTTTTGTCCTACGTCCACCATGGCCGCGAGGGCAGGGGGACCGAAGGGCCAGGAGGGAGTTTGTAAGAGAAGGAGAGGCGGTCGAGGACGCAAGGGAGGTGTGGCAGAGCAAGAGAAGAAAAGAAAACGAGGAGAAACGGTGTTAGAGCGAGAAGGAGAGCGGGAAAGAGAGATAATGCTTGCTCTCCCTTGGCTCTACGGTCACTGTGTAGTTTCAGTCTTACCGTGTACGTTGTATGGGGCACAGGTCTTCTTCGGCATCCTTTGTCGTATTCACATTCAAGCGAGCCGTTCCTTCAGCCCCTGTTTTTGTGCTCGTTTCGCCGATTCGGGTATATACGGACGAAAAGATTTCACGGAATAAATTTTCGATCGAGAAGATCGCGGAATTTTTCATTGAAAATATTTCTTGTTTATCGTCTTGAATCGTGCAATATTTTTCCTTTTAAACTGCAAGACCGCCTCGATGGAATATGTGCATCGACGATGTCAACAAAGGAGACACTGTTAACGAACGCGGACTGAAATATAAACTTGACTGAACGTCTCGTGACAGTCACGTGTGGCATGTTTTATGGATTTCGTGCGGATGAAAATGTTTTGGAAGCACGAGTACGATTTCTGCGAACGCTTTATACAACCGGGAACCGTGCGATTTCTCGCCGACCAAGCACAAAGATTCTAATCTCTTTATAACCTGTTATTTTTAATACGATACGAACTTAAAAATCGCTGACCGTGAGTGTGTTTAGCATTTTGTGTTTCTTTGATCGTGCCGTTGGAAATAAACTTCAAACTGTTCTATGAAAATAAAGTGCAACCTATCTTATCAATTATCTACTCGAGCATGAGACATGTTACGTTTCACCTGTCCATTGAAATATTTAATCGTAAACAAAACGAAGACACGTGTGCTGCGTTTTCAAAAGTGTACAAAGAATGCTCTTTCCGTCAGTATTTGGACGCAGTCGCTACGAAACGTATAGTTCCTATTAAATGGATAAAATATTTTCATGTGTGAACCATCGTGATTTTTTTGTGACGGGTGTCGAAAATAATTTAAATCCGAAATTGTGCGGGTTAAAACTCGAAACTAACGGTTGGAGTTAACGCGGAACGAAGAACAGTTGGATTCTGTGAAAAGAGGTTATGTTTGCAACGCGTGAACGTTGAAAGTGGCGCATAAACAAGTGGTTGTCCTGGAGACATGTAAAATATACGAAGTAAAGGATAAATAGGAGTTTCGAATGAAGGAAACGCATTGATATATCGCCAAGGGGAATCAAGGTATTAATTTAAAGTAGTTTGGAAAAGTTAGTAATAACAGGGCGGCAAACGAGTCACGTCAAACGCAACATGCACAACATTCGTGTTCTTATTATGTATGTACATGTTTTTTGTGTTGATATCTTCTGATGTTATTCCAGTTTCACATAGCTAGTTATTATACCTACTACTGAAAATAATACACTCGCATATATGCGATATTTTAAAAGCTTATTATGCAAATTGAACGTTCTAGAAAAATGGCGTTATACGTGTTTACATACATAATTGTACAGTATCGTTAATTAATGGGTATTACTAGATATTAGACACAATATTTATACTAAGTTATATTTATTATAGAGTTAATAAATTACACATGAAAATCTGTCTAGGAATTTTTATAGGTACATAAAATATTTTCACAATTTAATTACCACTTGCCAAGGGTTTGTTAAGGACCACTTGTCAACTGTTTACCGACTGTAGAGACGTTAGAGTTACTTCATTAGTAGGCTAGTAATATTCTTGCAAATACTAGTGACAAGGTTGAAATTTCAAGACTTAGCACATTGAAGAGGTATTTCTTTTGTTCGAAATAATTCGGAATATATGATATTTGATAGAGTGGGGATGAAGGTCAGTCGGAATTGAGAAGAGAAAGGCGGGGCGACGCAGAATCTTGACACGTCGGTGAACATTCTCCTAAGTCGATGGTCGAGGGCCAGCGGTCGTGACGGTCGACGACCGACGGTCGGTGTAGCTGCCGTCCGAGCGGTCCCTTAGAAGTTTCTTTGAAAGATTCGCAGCTCGCGAAGCATAATACCACTACATAAAGTCATCTGGCGATAACGGTGACACGCCTTTGACCGTTTCCGCTCAGTCTTTCACCAACAAATCCTTGCCGGCGCTTCAAAAGACTTTAAAAGCCGTGTTTATGGCCCTGATCGGGATCATTTCCGTCTCGGACCGATAACATTGTCTTTGTTATTTCATTGATTATCGTAGCGCCGTGACAGACACTCGATACCTGTGCAAACATACTAACGCCTCTACCGTAGACTTCTCTAGGGAAAATGGCGGCTTTGGCAAAGATCACTGTACTCGTTGATCTTTGATTGGTAAACGTTTATATTCATAAAATCTTCAATTTTGAAACTTCCGGTGAATAATTTTTAAATTTGGAATTTCAGAAGTTTGGTGAAAAGAAATTTTAGAATTTAGAAAATGGGATTGAAAATTTTTGACGTTTGAAGATTTTGAAATTTAGAATTCTGGACTTTGGAAAGTTGAGAAATTGACTAATTGGGAATTTGAAGATGTGTAAACTTGGGAACTTGAGTATTAAATTTGCTGATCTTGGAAATTTGAAAATATGTCAAATTTTTTAGGGCTTTGAAAATTTGAAAATGTGGAAAATTTGACAGATGTGAGAATTTTGGATTTTTAGGGATATTTAAAAAAAATTCTTTCATGAATGTACTTTACAAAATTTTTTCAAGGTTATCCATGTTTTTTTTTTAATATAAAAATACATCATTTTATTTATTGTATGTTACACCTGACATAACTCTGCATTTATGCATATATGATAATAGTGACCTTGAGATAATATAACCTTGAAATAATCTAGAACTTAAATGTTTAAATTAAATTTAAATGGAACTTCATTTTTATTTTAGAATAAGGTTATGCATATATAAAAATAAATAACTTTAAAAAATTGTTATAAAATTACCTTTATACAAATTATATGATTTTGTATCACTATAAGTTTAATGTAATTGATGAATAACTGCAGTATATTAGGATGAAATTAACTTTTGATTTAATTCAATATTGTAAAATAAGTATTGAATTTCAAAATGTTCAAACTGTAAAAACTATTTTAATTTAATTTGCACTAATTGAATTAAATGAAACTTTAATCTTGGTACTGTTGATAAAGACAGTTTACTCCTTTACTACATGTTGATTACACAGTAGTCCTAACATACCATGCGTCGGGCATGAACATAGAAAATCGATAGATGGGAAAACTGACGTTACGAATTGGACCGATCTTATCAAACCTGCTTCATTGTGTAAAATGATTTCTATTAATCTGTGACAGTTTTTCTGAGGAACATTTTATAGTTATAATCAACGTATGTAATTGTTTCATAATTGTTATTAATATGTGTAATTATTTTATAACTGTTACAAATCTACTTATACTCATCTAAACTTAATCTGATTCACAATCTTATCATTCAAATTTTATTATCTTTTATCGAAATTCGATTAGATTTGAAATTTAAACAAAGGTAAAGATTTGAATAATAAAATGATTAGAAGTTTAACATAAATAGATTTTAATTTCCAAATTATATTCTGACTCAACCACATCGACTTTAAAATTTTTTAATAGTATGAAAGGATGTATCGATAGATGTCAGTAACGCATCGATAATTTATCGATAATCGATAGCCTATTCCATGAAGTCCGCCATTACCAAAATGTCCGCCATAGTTACAAGTGAAAAACTGCCATACTAGCACTTTAATTATTGACGTTTCAAATGTTTCTTACAAATATCAATTCATACATTCGTACAAACTCTCGCGAGCGAAGTAAATATCTTCCAATCTCGGAACCGCCATTCCTTCGAACTTTCGGAAAGTTCGAAAATTTTGCTGGAGCGCAGAAATGTTCGCGGTCGTATCAGGGAAAGTTTCGTAACTGTCTGCGTGGAAGGAGGAGGAAGAAGAAGGTCGGGGCGGTAGAAACGAACGAATAGTCGAGGAAGATAAAAAAATTCGAATTACATACACTCCGTAAAGCCATGTGGAAATTTAAATGGTGGTCGTAAGAAAAGCATAGAGTTGTCTGAGACAGAGTTCCTCGGTTGGGCGCGTAAAAGAGATTTTACCGGGGTCGAAGCAGCTAGACCTGAAGGTAGAAGAAGGAGGAAGAAGGTGACGCATGAGGAGGATGACTAGGTGGGTTGGTAGAAAACTTACAGGTACCGGGAGGAAAGAGAGAACTGAAAGGGTTAGTTGAATGGGCGCTGTGTGTGCTTTTCTCGTTTGAAGAGCTTCGGATTGCCCAGTGCCGTACTGAAATTACTTTGCGCTTCTGATTTTCTGACGAATCGTTTCAATTCATCAGTAGCTTATTAAATGTACAAATACTTATTGAAATGTAACTTCGAATGCATCGAATTGGATAAAAAGGTACTGCGCATTTTTCAAGACAAAAATAGTTTTGTTGTCGCAGCATTGATGCTAAGGGTGCGTTTTGACTGAGCGGAGTAAGAGCATCGTTTGCGTTCGTTGTAAATGACCGTAGCGTTAATTGTTTGGTCTCTTCAAACAGATAAATACGAATGAATGTTTATGGAGTTTTAATGGAGCGTTTACACTGAGCGGCAGAAGTCGGGGAAATTCAATGTCTTTTTTTATAATGGAATTTTATTGGGGAGGTACTAGTATTTGTTTGTTCGATGGAAATCATAACCGAGCATCCGAATGTTTAGTATAATGAATTGAATTGCGTCGCATTGAAATATGTCAATTAAAACGGGTTGAACAGGATTATTTCGATTTAAAACGCATTGAATTGCAGTGAATAAAATTTATAGGCATTGCTTTCAATTATATTTACTGGAATTGAATCGCATCGAATTGAATTAGATATAATTGACTGTTACCAAATTGAATATTATAGAATTGACTTATAGGGAATTGAATGGAGTGAAATTGACTAGTGTCAAATGTAACTGTGTAGAATTGACTAGAATTGAACAATTGATTAGTGTTCAATTGAATTTGCACAGAATTGAATTACAACGAATTGAATTGTGTAAAATAGATTAATGTTGAACTGAATCAAGTAGAATTGAATTGCACGAAATTGAATTACGTCAAATTGACTAGAATTGAACTCAATGATATATATTTGATTAATGTGAATTGAGTCGCACAGAATTCAATTACGTCGAATTGAATTGTGTAAAATAGATTAATGTTGAACTGAATCAAATATAATTGAATTGCACGAAATTGAATTGCGTTGATTGACTAGAATTGAACTCAATGATGTAGAATTGATTAATGTTGAATTGAATTTGCACAGAATTGAATTACAACGAATTGAATTGTGTAGAATTGATCAATGTTGAATTGAATCATGTAGAATTGAATTATGCAGAATTGAATTTTGACGAATTGAATTACATTAAATTAAATAGCGTAAAATTGACGAACATTAAATTGAATCTCGTAGAATTGATTTGTACGGAATTGAATGATGTTAAATTGAAATATGTAGAATTGATTAATGCTGAATTGAATCTCATAAAATTGACTATTACCGAATTGAATCGTACAGAATTTAATTTTATAGAATTGACATTCATACAATTGATTAATGTTGAATAAAATTTCGTAGAATTGAAGCGTGTCAAATTAAATTGCATAGAATTGACTATTGTTAAATTGAATTGAATTGTGCAGAATTGATTGCTGTTGAATTAAGTCCAATCTCGAATAAATCTCATAGAATTGAAATTAGTTGAATTGAATTGAACAGAATTGACAAGTGTTGAATGACATCGAATTAAATCACGTATAATTGACTCTTTGAATTGAATCGCGTAAAATTGACATACATTGAATTGAATCGCTTAAAATTGACCACGGACCAGTGTAATCATGTAGAATTGACTCAATGTCAAATTAAATTCCACAGAATTGACTAACAACGAATTGAATCACAAATAATTGCCCGCCATTGATTACCATTAAAATTGAATTTAATTAATTACCATTAAATTGAACCTTGTATGGAATTGATTACCATTAAATTAAACATAGAATAAAATTGATTATCGTTAAATTAAACATTGTGCGAATTGACTATCATCGAATTCAATTACTGAAAATTGCCGGGCGTTGAATTGAATCACAATTTCGATCACGTCGCGTTGAATCGCGTCAGATTCGGTCACGTCGAATCAAAACACGTTGAATTGAAACGCGTCGAATTATAACACGTCGAATTAAAACGCGTCGAGTCGAATTCATTCGACGAGCGAGCGTTCTCATTGTTAGAGCATTCGTTTCAGCGAGCAATCTTCGAGCGACGGAAAAATGCTCGTTCACGCTTGAATGCGCTCGAAATGACGTTAAGAACGAGCATTCGTTCGCCTATTCTAAACGCGGCATAACGTTACCGACCGAGCGACAAACGCCAGTGCCCCGGAAGATACAAACGGTGGCCAGAAAATCGTGCGAATTTTCAAGCGGCGCCAGTCCCCCGACGATCAGGAAAGAAACGGGGAAAAATAAACGTCGAGGAAAATGAGACAAAGAAACAAGAGATGTCGCTCATCGTCTCTCACCGTTTTGCTTCCTTTTCCCTTCTGGCCGCGGTCTGTTTTTCGGACAATTCCAAGTAGCGAACCGCGATTGCCGACACAGCAATCTAAGACGCGAAAAAGAGAGGTGGGGACCGAGGGGAGTTACGGATAAAAAGAAAGGGACGAGAGGAAGAAACGGTGGAGAAGTAGAAAGAAACTGAGAGTGAGTAAGTAAGTAAAGTAAGAGGGTAAAATAAAAGAGGAATCGGAGAGGCTCTTTGGACGTGGATAGAGGGAAGGGTCAAATAAGGTGGACCGCTGTCGGAGTCGAAGCGGGAGGCCGCTCAAAGTGGACAGAAAGAACGAAAGAGAGACAAAAGAGAAAAGAAAACGAAAGAGTGAACGAGCAAACGTACGTACACGCGAGAAGGACGGTGAGGATAGAAAGAAAGGCACGAACGGGACGGCACAGGTAAAGGCTGAAGGAAGACGAGGAAGGCGATGAAGGAGAGAAAAAGGCAAAAAGGGAGACGGAAGACACAGACCTCGCCGGCTGGTGGCTGGCGGCTGGCGGCACCGCTTGATGTACGTCGGGTCCGTAATTACAGGTTTTCGGAACGCCTCGCTCGACGAACCACGCTCTTTGAGAGCTAGGGCCCTTCCCTCGCCTCGTCATCTAACCGGTGACTTCGAAATACTTGTCATTTCTTCGATCTCTTTTTCCTACTGTGAAAAATATCCCTACCTTCAGCAAATGTTAATGAGACTCAAAGAATCCTACCGATGAAAACTACACCGCTATAATTTCGACTAAGATAGTCCGTTTTCGAACAAACCATGCCCCTAGAGGTCCTTTCGATCTCCTTCGACGCGCAATATGCTTTATTTTTATTTCGTACCTAGCAAGGTTACCTACACTAATTTTGGCACGCTCGATTTTTATAAAGATGTTCTCGGTTTTTCTATGTTTACAAACTTAAGATTTGGTTAGTTGTTTGACAACAAATTTAATAGTTTCTTACATTTGTTATGGATTACTTTGTTAAATTGATAAATTATTGGTACAGCATGTTTCTCATTTTTATAATATATGTTCTATAATTAAAAATTTTTTAAATAACTGCTTTATCTTGCTCTACTATCTCTACACTTTGAGACTGAATGTAACCTAACCTAAACTAACCTAATTTATTTTATCACTCAGATTTTAAGAACAAAAATATTTAAATTTAAATAATAAAAATGTATATTTAAATTGGAATGAATAAATTTCAATAATAAAATTATGTATCAGGTTAGATTATGTCCGAAGTTGAAATGGAACTTTAGGTTATGTCAGAAATTAAAATGAAAATATACCTTGTCACTTTATGTAGGAAATGTAAATAAGAATAAATAGATTTAATTTGATAAAATTACATGTTCTATATCAGTTGTTATCATAATATAATTGATATTTAGCCAGATTGCTGTATCAAGGCCTATTTCAAACTTGGAAACAGGTGGTCTGGTGATTCATAAGCAGAGTCGTTGCCAAATACACTGAACTCCTTAAACTCTCACTGTCTCCTGAAAAAATTAACCAAAAATTAAAGAAAAAGAATTATAACAATATTGTATAAATTTCAAACTAATTCAACTATCAAGTTTACAACAATAATAAAAATTGAATATCTTAAATTATTTGATATTTTTACAAAAATTTTGAAGGCTATTGAAACAATTATTTACAACTTCTCAATCACATAATAAAAATTGAATATCTTGAACTACATTAGTCAATAAAATTTTTTTATATTTTTACAAAAATTTTGAACACTTAAAACACTTAGTGTGATATGATTATTTTTATTTGGGAGATATTGTTTTGGTACACCCGGTATATAGAAGCTGGATAAAAGTTTGGAGCGTATACATGCCACGGTAAACTGCGTGAAAGACTGTGCAATGTGGTGTGTTCGGATTCGATACGCGTGTGTTTAATTTTGATCATCGATAGCTTGAAAAATTGATAATTAATAACAATGTACGGAGCGAATTTCTTGCAACTGTACAGTACAGCTTCTTGCGATTCCAGTAACTTATATTAGCTTCATTAAAAATCTAAAAAAGATTAAATAAACGTACACTAATTTTAATTCAAGAGATTTGTAACAATTATTATAAGTTGTATGGTAAGAGAAGAATGTATGGAACATATGGAATGGGATCATCGAAATACCGCTGTGAAAAATCACGGTACCGTGCATTTTAATATCTTGACATTCGTAAGAAAACCGAGAAATGTTTTCGGGCGAATAAGAAGCAATGCGAATGGGCGACAGGATTTAAATTCCATGCGGTTGATACATTTTTGTACGCTCGAGAAAATTTCAATATCCTTCGAACATATCCTTCTATAGATTTGCAGTATTTTATTCGTCGATATCAAACAGCTTGGTATGCGGGGTAACGCTGTACTAGTATTTACCGACCAAGCGAAAGGCGCATAAAGTCAGCTCGGAGATGAATCTTGTCCTGATCGTGTCCAGATGGCTTTCCTACGTTTCACTGTAAACCGAATACTTTCTCCTTTAAAGGAGTTCCATTCCATTAGATATATTTCACAAAACTGAAATACCACATTTAGAAATTTTTTATTTTTACTTACAAATTTATAAATTTTCAAAGTAATTTGCAACTTTCAAATTTGTTCATTTTTGGCGGGTAAAAAATGGCGGGATGGCTTTGGCAGTCGAGCATTTTTCGACTTTATTTATACAGCCCTTTCTATAATTTTTTTCGCTATTATAATCCAACCAAGGTCATAGGAGACTTCACAGTGTATCGATCACAATTACGAAAAGATTTAACTTTTATTAAAATTGAAATTCAACGATGCTTTTCATCGCATGTAAAGATCTCTGATATTGTAGGCAACGGCCCTAATCTTCACACGTCGCGTTTCTTTCCATATAATTATATCTCACGGTGCTACGCTTCGAATAATTATAATGACGGACATCATTAAGCAAGTAGAAAACGAAGAGAATATTAGAGAAGTTGTGTAAGGTGCAAACGGAAATGATTATTTTCATACTTTGGTCATTATTAAAATTGACGGTTCTAATGAAGTATGCTACGTTGAATGATGAATCGTACTTGAAATTATATATCAAACATTCCTGTAATGATCGGGGAACAAGTACTTTTGTTTAAAAGGCTGAATAGTTTCAAGTTCAACCCATATGATTCCAACACATTGACAATGAAGTCTCCACTCGAATCGAATACTTTTATTCTCACAATGATAACTTTAATGAGAGTATTAATCTTTTTAAAAGCTTACCTCACATTATCACGGTGATTATGAAACGAAATAATGTAACTATCTTTATAATTCGATTTATAAAACAGAGACATAATTGTGCTGCGTTGAAATTCTGTTGTAATTATACCATAAAATAAATAATAGATTGTGAACGTCATAGTAAGTTATTACTAGTAAGAATACAGCGCCAATATATTAACCAAAAATGGCTAATTTAAACTCGATTTCCCGCCAACAAATTGCCGCATTATAAGTAGCCGCCCTAAATAGAGCTTTTTAAAAACACACGTGTAAAAGAAACATTAAAAAGTGACACTCAAAAAGATATAATAAATAAAAAATATGTGAATGAATACTTTCTTATTATCCTTTTTTTATGCATTTAATATAGTATTAAATGGTGTGTTTTAAATAAAGCTGTAGATTGCGTATTGTTAAAATCAAAATGTGGTATGATATTCATGTTAAACTATACTTAATGCCATCTATTGCCATGGAAAGAACAAATTTTGTAAATAAAATTATAATGGTTTTGTGGTTACGCGGCGTTGTAGTGTTAAGTTACAGGTGGTTGTAAATGTACTCTTTCTTTATGTAGAATTATACACGTTTATTTTAATTTAACAAATTTTATATTATTAAAATAGCTATAATAGATTTATATATAAATTTAATTGAAATAAACAAGTGTGAATAACAACTTTGTTATCTTTGTCATTGTTGTATAATATCAGTAAAGAAACTTATTCAACAATTTTTTAATTTTATTTTTTTTTAAGTTGAAGTATGAAAAACATATTTTACACACATTTGAAAATTTCATTATTGTTTGCACAGATAATTAAAAATGCTTCAATATAATCAATTTAAATAATTATATAATCTCTCTGAAATATTCACAATATTCATCTTGCTACTCTTTCAGAGATTAATTAAATTAGTTGACCACAGGATACTCAATTTTTATTTGCTTTCACTTTCATTTTTCAGTAAATGCATTCATGTAAAAAAGTCAACAAGAAAAATAATGGAAAAAAATGTTGAATAGGATTTTAGTATCATTTACAGTGTAAGAAATTTAATAGCGAAACCACTTGTTGAAAACACAGTTAAATACTGAAATTATTTGTACAATGAACATGTAATCACTCCAACAGTGATTACATTTCTAGAAGTCATTACTTTTTCATGATACGTCAGAATTGTGCGCTTCACAATCTGACAAGATCAGACATTGTATCCCTACTCCACCCTTCCTGACTGTGGCGTCAGTCCTGGTCAGGACGCAGCCTTAGCTCAGTTTGCCTAGAGACGCGTCGACAGTGGTATCGTATGTTCATTCTCTTCTATAACAAAAGAAGTTAGAAAGCACTCGTAGTTAAGGTCCATATAATCGTTCAGATTATAATAGATTTTATACTTCCATATAAGTTTCAAGGTCACTTGTAGAAAAGCACTGGCAAAATGGTATGTACATTCCTTTTCATCCCTTAATTCAGGTAAATGTGCACTGAAGCAAGATGATTCATTATGACAGCTTTTCATTTCATATTTTCCCTCTTGCTCAGGTAGAGATCAGATTTCTATGCATGTGTAGAGCTTTTCTGTTCTATAAACCTATTTACACATAATGCGATATATGTGTGTGCCTATGCCATGTGTTCAGCTTTTTATTGTAAAATTTATGTTTTTTTATTTTAAGTATGTAATATAAAAAGTTTCAACATAGAAGTATGTCAAATTTAAATAATTCAGTTACAAAATTTGTAAAAATACTATTCATTTATCTGCAAACATGTGCTTATCAGACTAAACTAAATGAAGAACATTAACATTGCATGATTTAAAATCAGAGTAGAGAATCCTAAATGATTGAATTAATATTATCATTTTTAATTCTTATAAATTTTTATTTATAAATATTTAAAATGTATAATTTGTAATAAAACTTAATGTAATGTATATTACTGATAATTTGGTGGAATATTATTAATACTCTAAAATTACTTTGGTATTATGTGTTAACATGACATATTTTTAATGTAATTAATAGAGTAAAGTCATTGGTTTCCAACAATAATATTTATTTTTCATAATAAGTATATAATGTAAAAATGCTTATAATAGGAACTTTATGAAATCATATTTCTATAGCTTATCATAACAAAAGGTTGAACCTTAGGGATGTGATGGTCTATTCTTTGTATAGGATATCCTATTCTATAGACCTATTAATATCTATCCATCCTGTCAAAATAAAATACTTCTCCGCTGAGAGTTCTATTCTAAAATCTGAGCCATATTTGGGGTTGACTGTAGTGTTCAATGGATTGCGTTATAATTTTTGTCGATCAATACCACACAAATGCTGTGCGCGGACCAATAGGGATATATAGAGAGGCATCTTTCAATGCGCAGACTGCCAGGAGCTACCCTACAGTTTTTCTGTCAGGCTCCGCCCTTAGAGTTCTTCTGGATAGGAAAACCATCCTTAGGTGCTTAATTGGTATATGACTCACCACAGAGCTCGATCGATCCAGCTTCCCCAGCTTTTAGGTCTATTGTTCGAGTATCCTGGATTCAGAATGTGCCTCCTCCGTTACATGTTATCATATACTCAAATACATAGTATTTGGTATGAATGATGAGAAACTTAAATAACAAAATTATAGATCAAATGAAAATGACAACATGAATAAAAATATTGCAATCTCTTTAATGACTATTTTTTTTATTTTATATATATCAACACAATTGAATTATAAATATTTAAGCTTGTAGTAGATGTTTTAATAAAACATCTTAAAACTTATTTATAACATTATTTTATATTTGTACATATAGGTACATTAATAGAATAAATTATTGTTTATTACAGGTTTGGATTAACCATGTCTACTAAGAGGCGTCGTGGGCCTAAATTAAACATAGAACATAAAATAATACATGAAGGCCATAATAGATAGGATGAGTGGATCTCGACAGAACGAAGCACGTTGCTTCAATGAAAATTCTCCACGGCCACCAGTACCTGGTAAGATGTTGTAAATAAGTTGTTATAATATAGCTATGTTAATCAACATAGCTACAACCTGTTATAATTAAACTGTGAATGATTATGTACTTACAACATAAGTCTGCAAAGTATATACGAATCATATCTATAAAATTTGTAGATTATAGGTTACATGATTTATGTATGTTTTACAAATCTTAACGTACCATGAATACATAAACATCTGCAGTCTAGTTATGATACATTATATAAAGTTATTTAAATTACTCCTATTTTAAAGGAAGATTAATATATTACAAATATAATTGATATTTTAAGTGTAAACATTAATTTTTGCAGGAGAGGAAACAGGAAACTACGTCAGCAGGTTCCGTCCACAGAGTCCAACTCTGACCCCTAGGCGTTCTTCTTTTGCAACACCAACAGCTTCAGGTTGCGATGCTTCGGCACCTTTGGGATTTGAACCGGAAGGTTGCTGTAGTACGACAACTATGGAAAGCGATTCACCACCAGCTTGTTTGCGGTGGGCCAGGAACCTGCATTCCTTGCTGCAGGATCCAGTGGGCTTGGAATTGTTCAGAAAATACCTGGATCAAGAAGGCAGACCTCATGCAAACCCTCTTAACTTCTGGTTTGCCTGTGAGGGTCTCAAGGAACAAGATGATCCTGAAAGGATACATCAATTGGTTAAACTTATCTACAGAAAGTTCTTCCTCAAGTCGCAGTTAGCTATACCAGAAGATGTACGAAAGGAGGCTAATCGCAGGGTTAAAGAAGGGAGGGCAGATGAAAGAGTATTCGATGCTGTACAGTTGGAAGTCGAACGTCTCATTAATGAGACTACGTATCCAAACTTTCTACGATCTGACATGTATCTTCAGTATGTTCAGTCCTGCCAAAACCCAGATTCTGGTGGATGTCCTAGTTCAGGATCCAGTCGGGAAATGTCTGTTTCTTGTGGGCCAAGTTTATTGCCCACTGTCCATGAAGACAGTGAATTTGTTAGTTCCATACATAGCTCGCATTCAGCTAGTGAAACGCCTGGGGAATTGAGGAGTGAGCTGAGATTGACCAAAGATATGCTTATGGCTACCCAACAAACGAGGGCGATGGATCTTCGACCAAAGCCAGAAGCATATGCTGGGTAATTTATCTTTTTATAATTATAATTCTTATTTGAAATATTATTCAGAATGCTTAAAGTTAGATTTGCATTAAACGCTTTATTTAGCTGGTTTCTTTTTCATTTTTTATTTTTTTTGAGCTTGTTGTGTGGTTTTTTTTTTAACATTTTTGTAGCATATAATATTTCATGTACATAGCATTTTTAAAATATGAAAAATATATAACCTAAATATGTCACACCATGAATAAGCATAGTGTACAAAATATTTTAATTTTTTTCTCATATTTTAATCATTATAATATTTCTGTTAATATATTTTCCAATCTTCTGTTTGTTTGTTTCCCTTTGGTTTGATGTTTTGCGTGGCCTTCATAGCATTTACTTGCAACATGGAACTAGTCCATATCATATGCTCGCACCCAGACTGCACGCACAATATTCCTCATACAACCCAGTATCCAGACAGGATTCAGAACTTCAAAGCTTGAGCAGTGATGCACGAACTGAATCAGACAATATGTCTCTCACCGATTCATCAGTGTAAGTTTTTTTTACATTATTTATTACATAAAAACTATGTGTAATGGATAATATAATATGTAAATAAATTTGTTAAAATTTCATAATCTTTCATTAATAATTACTCGTATTTAACAGCCATGTCCTTATGTAAAGTTCTTTTTTACATAAATTGTTCCATCTGCACTAGTTGTTTTCTTAAACTATTCAGGTATTAATGTTTTTACACTATGATAAAATTCATGAAATTTCTCGAATACAGTGATTTGATAAAAACAATTCAATACTTGGATGTACCCAAGTTTCTGGTGTGATTACTGTTTTGAATTTAAAAAATAAAAAAGAATTATATGCAACCTGTTACTTAATATTAATGCTTTAAGTTTGTATGCATATTTTTATACTTGACTATGTACCAAATTTTGTATAGCTTTTCATTTTTAAAATTTGTTTATTTACAGTGATGGAGTATCGATGAATAAACAACGAAGTAAGAAGCAGTATATAAGACAGTGTAGAGCTATGAAGGATTCAGCTAGTTTAAACCGTGATCCACTGGCACACCATACTATCATCCCTCGTACACAGCGAGTACCGCGTGATCTTATGCATCCGTTAAAACCGGAAGAATTTGCTCAAGTGCTTATTGAGAAATTAGAGAACGTCAAACGCGAACGAGAATCTCAGGAAAAACTTGATAGGCATTTGCAAGAAAGCGATACAATTAATAAGGATGTACCTTTGGAGGTGCCAAGCGGAGCTCCAAAAGCGTTAGCCGATGCATTAAGAGAAAAATTATTGATAGAAGAAGATAACGATCAAGCGATTTTAGACCAACATGTGTCACGAGTTTGGTCAGATCTGACGCCTTCTAGATCTCCTGGACTTTCATCCCCAAGACTGCATTCGCCTGAAAGAAGACGTTCTACGCACAATTATCCACGGCCGTACAAACAGAGGAAAGAGAAGGACGTTTTCTCTACGTTTTCAGCAGATAGTGGTAATATTCACGATTTTCAAGAAGGCAGCGATCTTGTCGGAGCTGGCTCCATGAGTTCACTAGGATCTCACTTGCCTAAATCTAAATCCGTGCCATCTGATTACGCCGATTCCCTCCATAAGCAAGACCTATATCTCCAAGGTACATTTCAGATTCAATTAAAATATGTTGAAACCTTATTAATGTATGTATATTAAATTATTACAATTTTGCTTTTTATAGGTCATGATCAAAGATTCCGAAGGTCAGATATGACCAGAAGATCAGCCACAAAGAAATCTATGACAGAACTAACCGACAGTGGTGTAAGCGTTGTGAGCGATGCACCACCGTCAACGATTAGCAAAGATATTCGACTTTTATCGTGGCTCAAGGAAACTGACAAGAAAGCAGATGTCAAACATAGTCGTCATGGGAAAAAGTATGGTTCTCGTAGTGGCTCGTTGGAAAGGACGACTAGGGAAACATGGGGCGTTCCTGCCCAACCCTTTGTTGCTGATCCAGGAATGCCACCTTTACCCCAACCTCATACAGTTAGTATTCTTACACACCCATTATTATAAATATACTGATATTATATTCAAGTACATAACAATATATTTTATTAATAGGCAACGCAATTAGAAGAAGCGAGAAGAAGATTAATAGAGGAAGATAGGGCACGTTCGAGTTGTAAACAACGTCATTCTAATATTTCTAAACAGTCATACGAGCCTACAATGCAAAGTCAATCTTATGTCCAATCGAATCAATCAACGTTAAAAAAGACGAAGCAAGATATTGGAGATTTTACCACCGTTGTGTTCAGTTTCTGTGACGAACAGTTTCCTTATAGGACTAAAATTCCTGGTCATAACGTCACTTTAAAACAATTTAAAGAATATCTTCCTAAGAAAGGCAGCTATCGGTACGTACATAAAAATATTTCATATCACTACTGAAGTGCTGTTGGATTTTCAAATAATTACATGTATTTTTTATTTTTTTAGATATTTCTTTAAAACTGAGTGCGAAGATTTGGATACAAAGGTTATTCAAGAAGAAATAACCGACGATTCGGAGGTCTTACCTTTATGGGAGGGTAAAGTTATGGCGCAAGTCAAGGCGCTCGAGTGATAGACTGAAACAAAGATATTCTGAATAAAGAACGTGCTAACTTCGAACAAGTGCCGCAACTAATTTTATTTAAGAGGACCAGCATTCTATAAGAAGAAAATCATAATAAGGCGATACTCGGTGTTAGTTTATTGAAGTTGCTAAAGCGGTTTCTTCCGCTTCGGTTAACCGAGAAAGTGCTTTTAATCGATGAAACAAAAAATCTGTTAAATAAGCAAAACCATTATATGTTTATTAAGTAAAAGAGAAGAAAAAAAGGAAACAAAACTATGTATGTTTTCATTTCTCATTTTGGAAATTTATTTTTGTTTTTAACAAAATGGTTCTTCCAATATTCATTTACATTTTATGTCTATTTTTTCTTTTTAATGTATTTGGCAATGAAAATTACCAATGTGGAATCATAGGTTGTACATAATTTCAATATGATCTTTATAAGAAGCGTTCCTTTTTCTAGCAAAGGTTTTGCAAATACAATCAAAAGAAATCAACTAACAGTGATTGCAGTTTGATTATCTCCGGTCAATCTGGACAAGCTGCAATAACGTCAGGAAGCGCTGTACATTGATTGAATAATTTCTTCCTCTTAAAGACTTCCCATAGTTTTCCAAACGACTGTACAAAAGCCCGCGTAGTTCATCGCCTTAGTAAGGTCTGTACAGACCCTAGATTTACATAGGAAAAAAAAACATTATTACAAATTAGTTTTTAAGAGGATATATTACGTGCATTATAAATACACATGCTCTGTTTAATATACGTAATATATCGTGCATTCGAAGATATTGTGAAGGAAAAAAACAATATTAAGGACACAGATTATGTTTTGTCGTACCACCATATCACTCGTCTGACATTGTAAAATAAGCTCCTGCATAAACGTAAACATATTGAAAAAATAGACAAGCAATATGCAATTGGCAAATGGGGGGTAATAAAGAAGTACTTTGGTGGAAAAGGATTAATTAGTCTAGACCGTAACGATGTTGTATCAGGTGCGAACAATTGTGCCTTTTTAGTGCAGTAAGGTCGAAGTAAGCCTAAGGAAAAAAGGTTAAGAGATACTTACTAAATTGGAGACCAGCGGGTCTAATATCGAGAGGATAAATTTGATACATCGAGCGTTTTGTATATATTTTTTTCCAAACTTCATCGTAGTCTTTGCAAGCTTAATCATTAGTAGTCGTTTACGCTAACGAATATTATCAGCATCGATACTTTTTAAACGTTTATGTTTCGATATCGAATTCTTCGTTTTCTTTTTAATGATTCCGTTAAAGGAACTGAATTATAACAAACGAGAAAGAAAGGAACAAAATAAGAAATCGAACGTGTGATTGAATCTTCTCGAATGGCCTTCGCATACTGGTTCGATTCATAGTCGTAGGCGCTCGCTTCCTAAACAAAACTGATTTTTAAACTTTTGACAGAACGAAAACGGATAAAAAATGTAGTATCTACATTGAAAATGAAACCGATTAAACGCCGAGGCTGGAGGCGATGCACCGTGGCTGATAACAATTTATTGTATGTAATTGATTATCTTTAATTAATACCACGAATGATAAAGTGTTCCTGTACCTAATTAATTAATAATGATTATTATTGTATATCAAAAGTATTGAGAATAATAATGCCATTTTCACTGGATTACATGAGATCCATCGCATTATGTTATTTTAAAGATATCCTGTATATAATTCAAAATTTTATGCAAAGACTAATTACAGATAACTACTGAATTAATACTTATTTACTTATTTTTCCCCTATTTTATTTCTTACAATAAAAACAACCGCTTGAGTAATAATACACAATTTTGTTAAATTATATATAATTTATTATTTATGGTAAAAAAAAATTTTTCATGAGGTAATAAGAAAAATGGGTGAGTCAAGATAAATGTAAATGGGAATTAAATTGTTCATTGATAAATGACATTGAAAATAAAAAATATTACTTCCTATGTGTGGTTGTCCCCTATCAAATGTTATACCACTTATTTCTACACTTCAGTCTATAACAGAAAAATATCAAAATATTTTTTTTGAGATAAAGATGATAATACAAGTTACTTAGTGGTTTAATCCATCGTACAATTATCTACTATTAAACAAGATTATGTTGATTTCAATAATGTTAAATATAATGAAGTGTATCACATAAGTCTTTAATTGACAAACGGATGATCTTTATTTTTGAGCAAATATTGCCTCTTCCAAATTGAACGTTTGTGTACATAATATAAAAAAAATTCATTAAGAATTTGGGTATATATGGTTTCTATATTAGTCTGCTCCTTTTTTATTTTTTAACTATAACACTTCACCTGTTTCACTATTTACAATATAACACATTTAAATAAATGATTTAATAAAAATGACGCTACCAAATGTTTGAAAATGCAATATGAACCATTTTAAATTTGAAAGCCATATGGAAGATTTACGTTTATGTATTAAGAGTTAATTAAAAAGTTAATTAAATTTTAATTAATATTATAAAATAAAATCGCTTTTGCTATGATATCTTTCTTTAAAATGTACACATATTTTTAATACAAAAAATATATTTTTGTATATTTCACCCCCACCCTCGAATAAAATTTCAGGAGAATTTTTAATGCTATAAAATAACAATAAGAATGTACATATATGGAATTGAGAGTCAGAATTAAATTACGTAATGTTTGCGTCCTTGCGTCCATTTCATGCTTGCAATCAAGGACCCAAAATCTTAAAAAAGTAAACACGTGCAAATATATAAAAATTCATCCGCGTGTATATATGTATAAATTATCAATGTAAAGTTTCAAATAACAAATATTTATTTTCAAACGACGTAGATGTTACATACTTTCCGTTTATAATTTCAGATTTTCTTAATTGTTCAAACAACGAAATCATTGAAGAATGTCGCGTGCTGTTACAAGATGACGAAAGCTGTGAAATATGTCACATGGAACGATTTCTCAGATAAAATTAGTAAGCATAGATAAAGTCTTGAATCACACGAAGCACTATGTATTACTGAATAAATTCGTCACCGCTGGAGGTAAACATCACCTATTTTATTTTCGGGTACTAAACATGTACGTAATTGTAAAATAGATTTCTTTTCAATTGCGATAGAGACCTCAGAGGATCGATATAGATTAACCTCAAATTTTCAAATTTCCCGCCCTGAAATATATAAAATACATTAATCATTGGAGATCGATTACACAAATACAACAATAATTTTACAGATAACATGAATGAGAAATTCTTTGTTGCCGATGACTTAAAGGATTATTAATATCGCAATAAATAATAGCGCACGAAACAATTCAACTACGTAAGCTTACATGAAATTTGATGTTCCCATCTTATAAACAGATTAGTGATGATAAAAAGCATAGCGTTTATTGCTCTTCAAGAGATTACAATCGGTAAGATAACATGAAGTACATGGTGAAATATATACTTTATCTTGTTATTAGATTAGATCTTCGTATTTTCTCGTAACAGAAAAAAATAAGTAAATTGGAAGACGAGGGAGATCATTCTGTAATACAAAGACTAGCGTCAGGAACTAACTGTCAACGACTTTGAAACGGTATATATATATATATTTTTGATATTGTGTATTTTTATTTTTATTTTTTATGAGCTACTTTTTAATTAATGCAATTACTTTTTAATAATTTAACTGAAGTATAGCGTTAGGGTGTAATTAAAAGGAAATAAAAGGGAATAAAAGGAAAGGGTTATATTGTTATTAATTTGTAGAACAGGGGTTCTCAACATTTTATAGAGTGAAACACTTTTTAAGAATGATCATTTTTTGCGACTCATTTTCTTTGATAGCAACATCATCTTACAAGATATTACAGTTAAATATTTTCAAATTCCTAATATTCCAAAATTCAAAAATTCAAAAATTTCGAAATTTGAAACATTTCAAAATTCAAAAATAGTAATAACAGTAATAGTAAAATTACAAAATTCGAAAATATCAAAACCGAATTAACTTGATTGGTATAAACAAATCAACATTATTCACGGAACCAACTATAACCCCTCTTATCGCTAAATTATGCGCAATAAATAACTGAAATCACAAAAGAAGTTCAGTCATATGTGATGGCTAGAACAATTTGGGACAAATCAGGAAAATGATCCAATTTGTAGCAAGGTGAAGAACACTGTTATCTTTCATCTCACAATCCTTGATTTATGAACCCCACAATTGTCGCAATTGAATTATGTTTGAGAATTCCTTCGATGTGTGTTGACTATGAATTTCTGCGCTGTAATTATTACACGATGCTGGATAGAAACGGGCACAATAAAAGACGATAGTATACAGAGCTATAAGTACAATGACTCACAATACATCTTCAGGCAAGAATAACATCTATTTTCGCGGTATAATTATATTTCTATTGTACGGGAACATAGCAAATTAAACATTTGCACTGCATATTCGAGAACAAAACATGATATCACCCGTTCGTTTAGAATTCGCAAGTGTTAACCCGTTAACTGGGGAATTAATTAACTCGCATGGACAAGTTATTGCAATTTAACAATTTTTTATGATTTGAAAAAACTAGGGGAAAGCGAAACTAGGGTCTTTAACTTTTGGGGACTTTTATGTCGATTTGCGTCAAAATAAAAATTTACGAAATAGTTTTTAATCTTTGAAACAAAATAACTTCGACGGCTCAATTTTATAAGAACAAAGAAAAATCGGAAATTTTTATGAACAGTTTAATTAAACTAGTAATAAATAATAAAGACTTTGTTGACAATTTATTCTTAGTCACTATATTCGATTAAAGGTCGATAGCATACGTCCTTTTCGAGTAGTATGGTGTTATCGGAAGATTGATCGATCACATTATCTCACAAATTTTGCAGTTAGATTCCATTGAACGCTTCTGTTAGACTCCTTGTCACGTTCAAGTGTTTGAAGATCGAATTACAGTAGCCTCTCGTTATATTGCCTCAGATGACTCTGATTCAAATGTTATGTAAAATTGTGCGAAATATATAGTGTTTTCAAATTTCTGTTTATTCAGTTTTCAAATTTCTGTTGTATTGGATAATCTGTATTCTGCAATTTAGAAGGTATTTTTATTTTGAATTGTTTTTTCGTTTAATTTTTTACTTAAAGTGTATAAAGGTACAGTTTATCAGTTTTTCTTGGTTTTGAGAAATTAAATAAAATTTGAAACTTCAAATTTATAAATTTTAAATATTAAATTTCTAATTTTTAAAAACGGCAATATAACGAGAGGATACAGTAAATGTCAATTATGCGTTCTCACGCGAGATAAACGACGATTCTGTTTCAAGCAGAATGCAAAATTGTCCTCGTCTGCGAAATTTTAAAAAATTTGCGGGAATATAACGAGAGTACAACGTAACAATAATCACAGTATTATTTACCGATACAAACGATTATTTGCTTTGAAGAAAAATACATACGAAATCTATGCCTGCAAAAGTTTAAATAAAAACGGCAATATAACGCGAGTGTAATAAATACATGAACTACACATCTTTAACAAATAGTGGCGAATAATCTTGAAGAAGTTATTGATGAAAATTGTGTTTGTGAAAGTTTATACAAAAACGGCAATATAACGAGAGTCTACTGTACACGTAAACTATGCATTCTCGACTGACGATTTTTTTTTTAAGAAAAATTTACCGACAGAATTTGTCTACATGGAAGTTCAAATAAAGACGGCAATATAACGCGAGTTTACTAAATACATAAACTACACATCTTTGACAAATAGGAACGGATAATCTTGAAGAAGTTATTGATGAAAATTGTGTTTGTGAAAGTTTACATAAAAACGGCAATATAACGAGAGTCTACTGTACACATAAACTAAGCTTCCTCGATTGACAAAAATGATGATGTTTCTTGATGAGGAGTTTATTGACAGAACCTGTCTATGTGAAAGTTCCAATAAAAACGGCAATATAGCGAGACTCTACTGTACACGTAAACTAAGCTTCCTCAACTAAGATGACGATCTTTCTTGAAGAAGAACTTAGCAACAGAAACTGACTATGTGAAAGTTCAAATAAAGGCGGCGATATAACGAGGGTCTACTGTACACGTAAAGTACAGGTCCTCAAGCGATCTTCCTTGAAGCGGAGGTCATCAACGAACCTGACAGCACCGAGGACTGCAACGACCAATAAATTTCGAATCACGTGAATCTAGAAGTATCGAGAAAGTAGGAAAACTAGCCGTAAAGTTCTTAATAGAGTCGGATTGGACTGTTCTCCAGTGACGTAGCGGCATTAAAGGGGAAGGGGAGACGAAGTTACGGCAGAAATTGTCGAAGAAGCACGACGCATTTAAATGGCCGGTCGCGTGTTGCCGCGGATTCAGTTTCGTCGTCGGCTTCTCGAAACCGGATTGAATTTCGTGTTTTTCACCTGTGCACCAACCCACGTTTGTCGATTCCACCCACTGTACAACAATTTTCTTCGAGGACCATAAAAAAAAAATTTCAAGAAACACGTGCACGCGTGACGTACTCCCACTTTTATGGCCTTTCCCGTAATTTCATTTGTCGTGCAAACCATGTGCCGCGGATGCAAGAACAAGTAACTCGTCACGAGATTTTGAAGAACCTGAAGAACGACTGTGAAGGTGACGATTGGAGTGTAACGGATCTGATCATTTACAACGTAGGATTTTAGGTGAGTCTTATTGGGTTTCAGTTATGTTATGCGTTTGACATGTTTGTATTATGAGACACGTTATAACTAACGTAGGAATTAATTACTTCATTAATTATACGTCTATGCACCTTTCGTTTTATAAAATTCGATAATTTTACACGACTTATGTCCTGAGGCTAAGATATTACTTTCAAGAATTTATGGCCGAGATGAATTATTAATCAGTAGATTATAACACTTGTTACTTTCAATTTAATACTAGTGATAATAAGATTGTCGTCGATATCACACCAGTTTTCAATTTTAGGAAAAAATATATAAATTTGAAAATTTTTGAACTTTTGAATATTCAGGTTTCTAAGTTGAGAAATTTCTAAATTTTTAAATTTCCAATTTTGTAGATTTCAAAATCACAAATTTACAAATTTTCAATTTTGTCAGTTTCAAAATTTCAAATCCCCAATTTCAAAATTTTCAATTTCATAAATTTCAAAATTTTCAATATTATAAATCTCAAAATTCCAAATCCCCAATTTCAGAATTTTCAATTTCATAAATTTTGAAATTTTCAATATTATAAATTTCAAAATTCCAAATCCCCAATTTCAGAATTTTCAATTTCATAAATTTCAAAATTTATGAATTTGTATCACAAATGTTTGGCACTTTCTAGAGAAAGAAACGAAGTACGCTATTTTGTATACGTCTAAGAACATTATTTACAGTTTTATTCAAATTTCCAGCAATGACCGAAAGCGAATGAAATTCATTATATCTAATATGTATATTTTTACATATGTGCACTCGACATTATAAAGAAAAAACCGGTTCCCGTCGTTATTACTCGAATATACCTACTTTGACTAGAATAATCTAGCCACGTGTTTGAATGTTGGGGAATTTATGTTTATGTTATGAGTTATGACACTCTCGAAGTATCAATAGTTAAGGAATACTGTATCTCCTAAATGGGACGCCGTGTTAATTACACGGAATACCGTATTATTGACCGAAAAAAATTAACGACGAAAAAAGTTTGTGTTATGCGTTAATCAATTATTATTTACTGTTATTATAAAATCGAGAAGAATTTTAATATTATTATCATACAAATTTGTATACTTATAACATATAATTATACAATAAATTATGTTACATATTTAACATTAATAAATTGTAACATTTAGTAACATACATTATTAAATAAAATAATTTTTTTATTTGCATTTAATACGTAGTTTATGGTAGTTCTTATATTATTACAGAAAATTATCGATTTTGTTATTAGTCTTCATACATAATTTATATTAGCATGCACAACATTAAGAATACCATATTTTATTCATTTGCGTCGGTATAGGTTATATAATACAGTATAATTAAAATTTGCAAAAAAATTGATTAACTAATTAGTAAGAAAAATTAGTGATGAATTTATTTGATAATAAGATAATATTTTAATCAAATTCTTAGAATAAAATTAGCAGGATGTATAGCATTATAACAGAGCAAGTAATCACATCTGCGGAGATAAATATTGAAGATTGCTGCATCGTGATCAATTCACTCAATTATCTTTGATAAATATAACTCCTGTAATTACGAACCGTTACTCCTATTTGATATTGATACTATATGTATAATGTTGTGATGTTTTTAAATAGCTTTTTAAATAAGACAAATTTGTAATATATTTATTAAACATTTTATTTAACAATAAAATCTATTTAATATTCATAACAAAATTTATATTAATAATTAACTCAGGCTTTATAAATTTAAAATATACAATAATTTGTTTATTAATAACCATTAACAAGTGTATACAAATATTATTTACTATAATATTTATAGTTAATAATTAATAATAATTAATTGTAAATATCAGACAATAGCTACAGATTCATATTTAAATAAATTCATAATTATTTTAATTTCAATTAACCACCATAATTAAAATATTTATTTGAACATTTATTACTGTATTTGTTTGTATGAAAAAATGTATAAAAAAATACAATACAATGTTCGTGTATAAAAAAATGCACGATAATTCTCTTCATTATGCGCGACGTTTCAACCCTTATTTGGATTCGTTTGAAACACTTTAATTTATCCCGAGATAAATCTGACGCAATACGTGTAAATCTTGCATAAGTTGAATTTTACAAATTCTCAAAAGTATCTCAAATTCAAAAATTAAGAAATTTGGAAATTTAAAAATTTCTAATCTTAGAAAAATTTTTAACCTTAAAAAAATTTCTAAGTTTTTAAGTTTTGAAATTTACTAGCCTCTAAACCTTGAAACCCCTAAAATATAAAAAGCACGAAAAATACTTACCTTCCACTAAAGTATAAAATTCGGAATTGTTACTAATAAAAAAATACAATAAAATACGAATGAAAAACTGCTATAAATGTATCAGTGAATATTGAACAAAAATGTTTCCTTTTTCTTGTTATTCTCCACACCCAAGTTGTCATGGACGACATGCGATACAAATGTTTTCCACGTTAGAATTTGTCGATTTAGAATCTAGATCGTACTCGTTTGATTCAATCGTTCCTATCGAAGCGCACAAATCAAGTTCAGAATTTAACAGCACGATCATTGATTGAAACCGATTGCGAAAGGTACAAGTATTATCTGACCTAATGATCTATAGCGTTTCTATAATAGTCTCTCTACTACAATGCACTTCTTATTGCTACTAAATCCAGAGTTATTGCTTCGCAATCAACAACTATCGTGTTAAAGCGATCAACACCATTCGAGATACACTGTCAGTTGCATTATATATATTTATAAAATAATAACAGTTTATATAACATAATTGTTTGCTTTTTTCATTGGAATCCAATGACAGAGTCATTTAGCTTCATCCTGAATCTAGTATCTGGTAAAATAAAATGTAAGGACCTTTTTTCAAGAGTAGAAAAGCTAGGAATAAAAAAAAATTATTTTGGAATATTTTTGTTCAGAAATAATTTCTTTGTGAAAAATTCGAGCTTCATCGTTTCCGGTTTTCAACACACACCAAAAGGTAATTATCTAAAAGTAGTTTAAATATCTTCGTGTTCATAAAAGTTAATAAAATAGTACAGAAAAATTATCAGGAGTTTCGGAAAAAATAAACCATAACCATAACCATATTGTATTAAATAACACTCATTTATTGTATTAAAATTGTTGTTTTACATACTGTTTAATACAAACATTATACTCTGATACTCTTCCCTTTTTGTAACGCACAAATAATTTTCTATTTCTTCCTTACAGTGTTAAGAAACTCTTTCTTTGTAATTCGTACTTCCCACAATTTTATCGTTATATTTTTCCTTCCCTTTTTATAATTCTAAGAAATCCTTAGTAACTCTTTCCTTTTATAATTTCATAATTATTTTTCCTTATAGCAAGAAAGGTATCTTTTTATAATTACACAATTTTTGAATGTACTATATTGACTCCCAATACGCATGACACTTACCATAGACACGTCTTTATGGTAATTACATAGTTTATGGTTACGCGAACGTATAACCTCAACGACGTGACAGCTTTCGTTAAATTATATAAAATTGTATCGTTAAGTGTATTTTCAACTATTAACCATGCAAAACAATGAGAATCCAGGACTATTGAAGGTGAGCAATCTTAGGCAGTATACATTTCTCTAATTTCTCGTAAAGACATTCATCTTTATTGTGGTATTTAGAGCTGCAGTTAAAGTTAAGCTTTTAAGTAAGATGTCGAGAGCGCACGTGCCACGGAATAGATCGTGTTAACTCTTATTGCACATATGTACCGTCTCCTTCCTATTAAAGGAAGCATAACGTTGAAACTGTAGCTTATTTGCAAGAGATAAGACGACTGTTTGAACATTTATTGCATGCACATTGATCATTCAGACATTCGTGCATTTTCCTTTGCGAAAACCGGAATTAAAACGTTCCGTTTCTTTTGATCGCGGATCATGTTTTGTTCTGCAACTTTTGTTGAAACAGACGGTTTCTTTCGATCGTTATTTCATTTAATTATAATCAATTTTAATGAATTTATTTTACAATTTGTTCAATAAAATTATGATATTTTTAATTAATTAAAGATGTATTACAAAATAGCATTACTTACTGATAATGTAAAATTAAAAATTCAGAGGTTATATGCTATTTACTGAAGAACTAATTATTCGGATTTTTAATTGGAATTTTATGTTCGATTACATCCGTCTATATGAAGTCAGTTAATGATAAAATTTTTAGTGTTTTATTACAGATGTTCATCTTGTGTAATAAGGTCTATTTTCATTTATAACTGTCATACACAGAAAAACTTGACCATCTTGAGAACACTGTAGTGAAGAAAATGCAATATCCATAAAACTTTGCATTATAATTGAAGCTTCAACAAATACATTTAAATAAGTATAATAACATCTATAAGTTTAGAAATTATTGACAGTTTAAAATTCAGTGCACACAGAAATTGATTATGGTATCATAGAATTTAGAAACATTGGAAATTTAAAGTTTTCCCATAAAAATTAAACACGTATATATATAGTTTTTGAAGTGACAGTCTGATAACTGATGTCACATGATTATCCCTCTACACCTCCTTGCTCGAGGGCATGTACGCTCGGGCATTCAAGGCGATTTCAGTGACAGTTCTATCAGCAATTAACATACAGTATAATTTCTGGGCGAACATATAAATGAGACGTGTCGTGATCTATTCGAGTGTATCGCGAACAGATTTGCATGAAAAACAATGTTATTATAATTTTATGTGCGGCCACGCGATTCGCGCCAGGTATGGGGATCCCCAGTAACGGATTAAAACGTTTAGAAGCCCCAACCTAACCTAACCTCTTCAACGTACATATCAGTACGTCATTGAAAATTAAATACACAAAATTAACATGTGTACAAATATTATATCCCTAATGTTACATAATGAAAGTTAAATATATTTTATATTCCAAATGTTTAAAAACCTATTAATTATTTTTTGATATGAGAAATTAATAGATAAAAATAAACATGATATAAGGATAATATTTATGCGTTAAAAACCGATATAAAATATATCGCGTATATTACATTTTTAAGTCATGATAGAGATGTTAATTGTATAGAAAGAAGTACACGCCATTAAATTTGTAATACAGTATGCGAAGAAAAAGCTTTAACTGCGAAATTTTATTCACTTTCTTAAAAAATGATAATGACTTTTACACAGCAAAAGGATTAAAAGTGTGATAATAAGGATATAAATTATCCGTACACTTTAAATATTATGTTTCTAATTACTGTAATAAATTAATTGCAGAAAGCGTAATAGTACGTCATCAACACCTGTCAGTGACGCATTTCATCATAAGTGCGACGGAGAAGTACCTTTTCAATTAGATCCAATTGTCATATTTAAGATTACCAAACAACGTTTATTTTTAGATAAGAAATTCCGGAACTGACATTTTTGGATAAAAACTTGTAATTTTTTAAATTTTCATTTTTCTGTATTATCATTTTTTCTCTTTTTTTTTGCAACTGCAAATCCTGTGATCAGATCTTTAATACTAATCTCATGAAACGCAAACCATAAATTTATTTTATTTCTAAATTTGCCAAATTACCAAGCATTCAATTTTTTAGTACTTCAATTCTTCAGCACATCAAGTCTTCAATTCTTCAATTTTCAATTCTTCAATTCTCCAATTTTCAATTTTTTAATTCTTCAGTTCTTCATTTTCTGAATTTTTGGTTTTCTTGGTTCTTAAATTCCCAGACTCTACATTTCTAATTCGACAAAATCCCCAAATTTTTAAATCGCTAAATCTCTACATTAAAAAATCCCTAGATTCCCAAGATCCCAAGATCTAAATATCTTTTAATCTCTAAATTCTCAAATCCCATATCTCTGAATCACCTAATAATCCCTCATCTTCAAATATGAGATGTTTTTGATATTCGAAAACCTCTAAGCTCCATACTCGACGAACATCTGTCCCGTCGATCCGTTCCACATACACGCACGCTAACAATCACTGAAATTACCATGTAATAGATTTTCAGATTTAGAAAATTTCTGTGGCCTTCCCAAGCACGTGCTCATTTTGCTTATTGATTAATCCAGCACTGGAAATGTCTGGTAATGGGAGAACCGCGTGACACGAGGTTGATTCAAAAGCACGTGAGCACCCAGAATGACTGGTTGCGTGAGCGAATCATGTGATACGAGCGTAGTAATGCTTTTTTTTTTATTTTCATGTTCCTTCGTTTACATTCCACCTGTCTCGTAAACACCACGGCGGAACACCATCCCACCGACGCCTGCGATTTCTCGATTAAAACGGATCAACGCTTGCAACATTATAACACTTCCTTGAAAATCGCTCGCAAATAATAATGTTACACTTTTGTTCTCATTGACAACGTTATCTCGAGTGTGTGCGTCCACATCGGGCTGATTGACGATACATTGAAACTATCCAAGGCCTTCGGCAACCACAACTGGGTTAAAATGACTTTATTTCTGTTACTTTTTACGCTCGTTTACGTACTCGGTGCGGTTTAGAACATGCATAGAAATTCCTAAGATTCATTGTTGATTTTTGGAAATTGGCGCTTTCGATATTCAGGAATTTAGGAATTTGGGAATCTGGGGATTTAGAGATTGTGGAAATTTAGTGATTTTGGAACTTGGGTATTTTCAAATTATTAGTAATCTAGGAATTTTACTAGTCTAGGGATTTTGTCAATCTAGTGATTTTAATAGCCTAGTGATTTTACTAATCTAGGAATTTTATTAATCTAGGGACTTTACTAGTCTAGTGATTTTACTAGGCTAGGGATTTTGCTAATCTAAGGTCTTTATTAGTCTAGTGATTTTACTAGGCTAGGGATTTCGATAATCTAGGGATTTTATTAATCTAGGGAGTTTATTAATCTAGGGATTTTACTAGTCTAGGAATGTTATTAGTCTTGGGATTTTACTAATCTAGGGATTTTACTAGTCTAAGGATTTTACTAATTTAGTGATTTATAAATATGAGAATTTGGGAAAATGCGAATGTGGAAATCTGAAAATTTAGGAATTTTTAAATTAAAAAATTTAGAATTTTAGAAATTTGAGAATCTAGGGATTTGTAAATTTAAAAATTTAGAATTTCAGAAATTTGAGAATGTAGGAATTTGTAAATTTAGAAATACGAAAATTTGAAAATTAGAAAGTCAGGAAATTAAAAACTACAATAATATTTTGAATTTAATGAAATCTATATTGCATTCATCCGCAAATAAGATTAGCTTCAAATTGATCATCTTATTTTTATTTACCAAACCTCTTGCTGCAACAGGCTTTTCCCGATTATCGCTTTGTCCACATACGGTTTTTGCGAAAGAATCTGATAAGAACATCTGAGTATTACACTCAGACATAAATCATTGACTTTGTAAAATTTGTCGGATACTGCATTGATATACGTTGCCACTAAAAATGTACACGTCAAAAAATAGTTTGCGTTATAAATTATGGAGTGATATTTGAGTAACAATTTAGAATGTAGATTTAGTGAATGAACATAAAGAAATAATTATTCCGTTCCGCGAGTAATTTACATAAAAAAAATTCTGCATCCTTGAAGAATTTACGTAAATCAGATAAATTAATTTATGGGGGTCTATTCTTACAGCATTGTTTGTGTAACATATTCACGTACGTTTTCAGTTTTGAACAATAGTTGTACAATTGTTTAACACGGTCTTATTTAACTGGGACTTAATTATGGTAAACCAAGTGTTCTGTTATCACTGTAGCTGAGGTAAATGTTATCTGTTACTACCTTCGTGAAGTTGACACGTTTAAGAACACACGGTTAATAAGAATATTATTTTTACAGTTAATAAAAACATTGTTAACACGAGGTCGAAACATTCAATATTTGTTTAAAGATCTCTTCATTGACCACTTGATTCAATCACTTGAAAAATGTTCGATGTATTATCGCGGGGTGTATTGGGAATTTTAAATATGGCGCCCAATTTAAAAATATTAATTATAAATACAGGTAGTTAAGTTTAAAACTAAAATTCTTTTATACTGCTATCATTTCATTTTACTACATGTAAGTAAAAATAATATTAAATATAGATAAATAGTAATGCATTGAATATTAAAGATAATTCGCTAAATATAAATAAATAGGGATGGGGTGACAATGGTTATCATTCTTAACCTAAAAATGTCACATGTGTATAATTGTTATTGTTCATGACTATAACGATTTGTTGCACGTCCAATTTAATTTGACTAAATTATTACTAATTAAAAATAACTAGCATTTTATTTTTACATACCGATAGTTTGCATATACGACGTGTAATATATTTCGCTAAATACCTGACAGTTTACAAACTAATACATGCTCAGTCAATGGAACTCAGTTGACCGTCATTTGCCATGTGCGTTTTTACGAACTGATAGTATACTGTGTCAGGATGCACCATCGAAAATTGTCATTTTAAAATAAAATGTTAACCTCCATCAGTATTTACATCCTTAATAATTATTGGTTAGGTTATATATAATTATTTATATAGATTATTATATACTATTTCATGTTTTTTGTTTCATTGTCGATCAACGAGGAGCTGAACAAACGAATTATAAGTCTTGACATCGTATATCATAATCCATACGACAAATATAATTTATCGTTAATTAAGCATTCTTATTCACATGACACGTCGGGTTTCGTAACGAGATTAAGAAGACCACAACGAAAGATATCTATAGACATCTTTATTATTCGTAACACGGAAAACTTTCGTGTAACAATGTGTGCCCGTGATTTGTAATTACTTTTTAACGATTCAACCAGAAGAGATAGTATATCTGTTGGATTCTGTTATTTGGCCGTATAATTACCGATAAATGTGCTTATCGCTGTAATTACAACTATCACGACAAAACGTTTTTAACGAAAAATGACTGGATCTGTTGGGAACCTGAATTCACTGTTACGACGTTATACTTTAAGATAGGCGCTTATTCGCGATCACATATTGAACAATGCTGTTTGTTATATTAATTCAAATATCTGTAACAGAATGTAACTTATTTTAAGATAATTATTTGTAAAAAAATAAACGGATTTGATAAAAATATAGGCTTGTTAAACTGTTTCCTTTACAACCTGTTTCTAACTGTTTTAAATGCTTGCACTAGTTATTAGCAACACTCGAGTTGTCGATTCATACGTTGGAATTAATGGTAAATAGTTCAATAAAGACCCATAAATAACGAATGTAGCGTGCACGAAAGCACGTATGCAACTGTTTTAATAAACTTAGTCCAATCAATTTCAGCTAAATAGACCTTAATTGATAAATATCAAATAATGTCAATATTCTATGTCAACACTATGAAACTACTTCCTTTATTTATAATTTTGTTCGATGATAAACAACTTTGTGCTTCAAATTTATTAGAAGATAAATTCTAGGATATACATATTATTAAATTTAAATTGTAAATATGTTATAAAAATTTGCAAAGAAAATTTTTGTTTTACTTCTGAACAATTTTTCATTTGTAGAAGACTAAATTATTTAAATTCAAGTTTATATTTAGTTAAAATTATAATAAATTTAAAAGTTATTTATCTATATATTTATGATAAATAATTGGTATTGATATTTTAAAATTAGATTGATCAAAAATTATCAACAACTTAAAATAGTAATTTGTATATCTAGTGAATTTTCATAATAACTGTATCACGGTAATTATAGGAAAATAGCAATTGCACCAAATTACAGTATTTAAAACAATTATATTAATTTTGTTAATTATACTAATTATGTTAATTATATTTGCACATTACAAATATAATTATACAATGTTATATAATATTATTTGTTTTTATTGTACCAACAAAGAGAACTTAATGTAGCTAGAATATGTAATTTGAATTAATTAAAAATGTTTGATTTTCAGGATGAAGAAATCAAACGATACAGGAGGTGTAAATCAAAACAATCAGTCTGGAGCATATGTGAATCATGCCTTGAGTGTGTCTGAGGATAGTTTAAATCTTGATCATTCAAACAACTCTCAAAGTCTACATAATTCATATGAAAACCGAGAAATACAAGGTTCCTCAGATTTTATTTGTAAGTATATTCGGGTGCATCGTACCTTTGGTTAACTAGGATTTAAAATATTAATTATTTATTATATTATAAACGTTAATTCAGGCTATGCCAATTAATCTGTCACATGATCAATAAATATATTCTATTACATTTGTATGTTTCACAATAGCATGCTCTCCAAATGAAACAGTTTATCATTGTCTCCTTGAATGGTTATCATAAACTGATCTATTAGTTTGTTTACAATCAAACGTAGAATTATAGGCTTCATTAAGTGGGTAAATATGAAAAGCTTAACAACCTTGTTGTTTTTAGTGGTCACAGAATCTGGAGATGATGAAATTCACCATAAAGATAATTTTGCACATACAGTATGGAGATACGTTAAGCGACGGTGTAGATCAATTTGTACAAAGAAAACTGTTTATAAAAGACTGCCAATTTTAAACTGGTTACCCAGGTACAATGCACAAGATGCAATAGGCGATCTTGTTGCTGGTATTACTGTAGGTTTAACTGTAATTCCACAATCGTTAGCGTATGCTAATGTAGCGGGTTTGCCACCTCAGGTAAAGTCAATAAATAATATGTTCATAAATGTAATAAAAAATTAGGAAATGATAAGATTTCTAGTAAGCAATATTATATTTTACAGCATGGATTGTACGGTAGCATTTTAGGCTGCTTTATTTATATCATATTTGGGTCTTGTAAGGATGTGCCAATGGGACCCACAGCTATTATTTCCTTGCTTACATATCAAACAATAGCACATCTTGATGCACGAGTGCAACATGCAATACTTCTTTGCTTCTTAACTGGAGTAGTAGAATTACTAATGGGCATATTTGGTCTTGGTAAATATTATTCCAAATAGAAATTATTTAAGAATCTGTTGATATAATACCTAATCCTAATATAATTTATTTCAGGATTTTTAATTGATTTTGTATCGGGTCCTGTTAGTTCAGGGTTCACATCAGCAGTAGCTTTAATAATTGTTACTTCACAACTGAAGGATATTCTTGGTGTTCCTGCAATGGGAACACAATTTCTGGAAATGTGGGACAGTCTTGCTAGGCATATACACCAAACTTCAGCTTGGGATGCTACACTTGGAGCATCTTGTATAGCATTCCTACTACTCTTCAGGGTAACTACATTACCATGTTAGTACAATAATAAGTAATATAATAATGTTATTTCGTTATACATTTCTTATTTTGTAGCTTCTAGCATCGTACAGTATTAGACCTAAAGATAAAGAACAGGAAAATTCGAACTATCGCGTTATAAATAAAATCATTTGGTTAATTGGTACATCACGAAATGCGCTTCTAGTGATCATTTGTGGTTGTTTAGGATACAGTTTCAGCACAAATAGCCCCTTCAAATTGGTTGGTAAGATAAACGCATCTTGATCATTTTTCAATAACTGTATGTATAATTAAATACTTATTATTATTACATATGTTGATTCTTTTTGCAGGATTCATACCAGGAGGTATGCCGGCAGTAAAATTACCACCATTTAGTTATGAAACAGACAATGAAACAGTGACTTTTGCTGAAATGGTTACAAATTTGGGAAGCGGTATTCTTGTTATACCACTTATTTCGTTAATGGAAGATATTTCTATTTGCAAAGCTTTCTGTAAGTTTACACTCTGTCATGTTTCAATATAAGTATACTGAAAATATATTTTATACATGTAATAAAAGAAAAGGATTTTACATTTATTTCAGCAACTGGAAAATCAGTTGATGCAACACAAGAATTAATAGCACTTGGAATGTCAAACATTGGTAATTCTTTTGTTCAGGCTTTTCCTGGTTCAGGATCTCTTAGTAGAAGTGCAGTAAACAATGCATCTGGAGTTAGGACACCAATGGGAGGCATTTATACTGGTACTAATTTAATAATTTATTGTTATTATTTACTGCTTAAACTGAACAAAAATATATTGAAATTCTATTCAACTAAACCTATCTTTTTATGAAATAATAGATTTTATACCTTAATCGGTTTATTTTAGGTATTTTAGTGATATTAGCTCTACTTTTTCTTACACCATACTTCAGTTACATCCCAAGGGCTACATTAGCAGCAATTATTATAGCTGCTGTAATATTCATGGTAGAAGTCAAAGTTGTAAGGCCAATGTGGAGAACTAAAAGTAATTTTTTAATTTCATATAAAAATTAAGTAAGAAATTTTTACTAATTTTATAAAAATGAACACAATTTTTTTGTTACACTATGACCATTTTGCAGAGTCGGATTTAATTCCTGGAGTAGGAACGTTCATTGCATGCTTAGTGCTAAAATTAGAAATTGGAATTTTATGTGGCATTGGAATAAATATTTTATTCATTCTGTATCATGCAGCACGACCAAAGATATCTGTAGAGAAGCTTACTGTACGTATATTTTCTTTTTAATTTGTTAGTTAAAATTGTCTACTATAATATTTTGTTATTTACACATATTAACATGAGTATAAAAATACTAATATGTGATTTATATATTTTAGACTCGACACGGTACTCAATATCTCATGTTAACACCAGATCGATGTTTAATTTTCCCGTCCGTAGATTATGTGAGAAATCTGGTGACAAAATACAGTCAACGTGCTGGAACTGTGGCAACTCCAGTTGTGATTGATTGTTCTCATATTTATGGTGCAGATTTTACTGCAGCCACAGTTGTCGAAACTTTAACTAAAGATTTTGCCGAGAGAGGTCAACCACTGTTTTTCTATAATTTAAAACCTTCTGTTTATACAGTATTTGAAGGAGTTGCATCAACAGACTTTGTTGTATACTATACTCAGGAGGCGCTGGACGACCTCCTAAGAGATAAAGGATACTTAAAACAATAGAATTCACTAAATAGAATGTGCTACTTTTGTAAGCATTATATTATATTAGTATGAATTGAATTACCATATTATTCATGTTAACAGTAGAACTGGTTGTTAAGTTATGTCTTTCTTATTATAGATTTTATAGTAATAAGTATAACTCATTTTTCTCATCACTCTCATTGATTTTCAATGAATCATAGTAAGCATCATCATTTTATATTTAAGAATGCATTAAAAGCAATATAATATTGTTATTAAATATATCACAGTATAGATATTTTTAATGAATCATTTTTTTATGTATTATTAAAGAAATTCTTATTGTAAATCTTTATCAACATTCATTCTCATTACCTGCATCTAACAAACATAATAACAATGCAAAAATAAATTTTATTACTTGTTAAAAACTATTAATGCTATATTTACCTTTATTTGTTATTATATATATGTGTACATATATATTATAATTTATTGTAAATTATATTATTTTAATAGAAATAAAATTTAAATTACATAAAAATAAAGAATTTAGAATTTTTATTTCGCGTTTTTTTCTAACTAAACCTAGTAATGATATTATTTGGGAACAAGTATTAGGGCAAAGATGTAAAACAGAGATGCATACTTTAAATTTTTTATTATTAAATCAAATCAGAAATAATTTTATTCATTTTCCTGAGAACGTAACCTTGCACTGGCATTAGTTACACGAATAGAAAGTTGTTGAGCACGTTCAACAATGCTTTTACGTTTTTTACTGCTCACACCATGGGCAATTTCAGCACAAAACTTACGATTCTGCATCATTAAAACTTCTAATTCCTATAAGTTACAGAAAAAGCATGTCAGTACTATCATACTTCATTAGATTCAATGTAAATATTTAAATATCAAAACATTTTTATAAAAGAACTTAAGGAATGTTGTATGTATCAAATTAAGAAATGTATTATTATTTCTAAAAATTTTTCAGAATATAATCTATAATTACAAAATAATTTGAAGTATAACAGTTTTTCATTTTTTATCCATGCTTTTATGTTAATAAATGTTAATTACAGTATAAATACTGTAATAAACTTATTCTTACCTTAACATTATGTACCAAAACTTTTCTAAAACCAGTAGGTAGCATGTGACGTGTTTTCTTGTTGCTTCCATAACCAATGTTGGGCATCAAATACTGTCCCTTGAAGCGCCTACGAACTCTGTTGTCGATACCTTTGGGTTTACGCCAGTTTCTCTAAACAATTGTTGAAATAACATTATACAATTATTTCCAATTCTTTAATTTGGTGTCGCAGTAGCAACAAACAATATTTTAATGTTACAATTGACAAATACGTATAATCAATATTGTAAATATCAAACCTTCAATTTACTGTATCGATCACTTTGATGACGAATGAATTTCTTCGTCCTCTTTTTGACAATCGTCGGCCTGTACACTGGTCGGATGGCCATTTTTGTAATATATTACAAAACTGAAATTAAAATTATAAATTTGAATCAATTAATGTTTACTTTTGAAACCAATGATGAGGGTAACCCTACACATTTCCACCATATTTTACTTAATTAATATCATTGCGATAATAACTTATTTTGAAAAAATATAATATATTCGATCACTTTTTACTAATCTATATTAAGTCAATAAGTATATATTTTGCATCACGTAAATGATTTTTTAGAAGATTTTGGATTTTCTATAACATCACATACCGTTCCTTCTAACACACCAAAGAAAAGAGGTTATGTTGAATCCGGATGAGCAATTTGTTGTGTTAAAGTGCCATCTAGCGATAAAAGAAGTAAAAACGTAGCTGATTTATATATCTGCAATTTGTATTGCACAAAGAAAATTATCTGACAAAATTATTACATCTTTTGTATTCCTTTAAGCATTATCTGGTATTGATTTTAAACTTAGATATACATCCTTTTTGTTTTTACAAAAAATAGTGATGAAATATATTGTGCACTTTATATGTGATACAAAACGATACAGTACAATTTAAATTAAAGGAAGAAGATTAAAAAGATAGAATTAATTTCAACGTAGAGTTAATTCTAAGAAATAACTGAATAGTTTTATTGATAATCTCAATCATATGTCGTTTCAAATGACCAATAAGATAAAGCTACTATTCATGATTGATGCACATGAAAAACCAGGATATGACACTGCGAAAAGTTACCAGACACAGTCTGCTATAACTTTTCTGTCAAACTAACGCGTTCTTCGATGTATCCGTGTAATGAGAGTAAATGAATATGTAAATGTGATGTAAAATGTCTTTACCATGGTGTTTCATTTAAAATATCTGGAAAAATGTAATATATGCAGGTAAAGGATATCAATGTTGATACAGTTTTCATATAATTTCGTATTTTTAATGTATGTACAAAATTTAAAGTACTAATCGTTAATGTGTACTCTTTAAGGATAGAATATCACAAAATCAAGAATAACATGTTTACCGTAACGTATTCCACCTAATTAACAAAAATTATTTCTATATTTTTTATTTTTAATTGTATGAATTATGAAAAATACATATATGTTACATTGTATGTACTGTATTTTAGCTACAGTTTAAATAATTTTTATAGATAATTTAGATTTATAGAATTAATTTTGACATACATTATTTTTATAAAAAATGTTCTAAAAGAAAATATTTTTGTAAAAAGTGTGATATATGGTTTTAATTTCATGACATACTTTTTTTATCTATGATTCTTCTATTATTTAAAATAATGTCTGAGTAATTTTTATTTTAATGAAGAAACAAAAATTGTATTTCTTTTTTATGTTTTTAATATATTTTGTAAAATTATATAATCTTTTAATAATTTCATTTATTCTATTAATATTTTAATTTTTCTGTTATTTACAGCAATATATTTAAATAGAATTGATTGGTACTATGTTGTAAAAAATGCCATCTGAAATTAATGTTAAAGATACGGCTTGTGGGAAAGATAATGGAGGAGATGAGACTGAAGAACACGACACATTATTAACACTTGGTACAACAAATGAAGGATCCCCAGCTGCTATAAAACATGTGGAAACCACTGCTGTGAAAAGTAGTAGTAAACAGATATATGGTTCTGGCATTGAAAATGATTTTATGGAACAAGCTGAAAGTGTTTCTTTACCTTTAGACCTAAACCATGTATCAAATGAAAATGGTTTACAGCAAACAGAAGTGATTGATAATACAAATGATACTAATGCTTCAAATTCTTTTGAAGAGCCAAGTACATGTTCTGAATCAAAATGTAATAGGGAAAGCACGGTTTTAAAGACTGTCGCTACAACATCTACAATAGCTAGTGAAATTGAAAATAGTAGTAATGTTTCAAATAAAGTGGGTAATGATATTGCGCCAAACTTGAGTGAAAGATTTGTATCATTACCTCATAAAAATTTAACAAGAAAGAAATGTTTTCTGGTCAGTACTGATAACAATCCTGGAAAAGTAACAACTGTTTCAGAACAGTTACCTTTATCCTCCAGAAACATGATTAGAAAGAAACAATTTTTTAGCAAAGATTTACAGTCCAGTAGCACAGAATCGCAATATGAGCAAAATACAAGAGATAGGCACAACAATAATGAAAGTGATGTACTTGGTACTAATAACAGGGATTCTATGAAAGATGCCTGTAGTTTACCTCTGGATAGTATAGCTTCGTGTAGTTCTAGTGAACAGTCACAATTTCACAATACTTCAATACATGAAGTTCACAACAATGAAATTGCCAATGCACATAAATTATTAAATTTAACTGAGAATAATAACAAAAATACAAGTGAAAATTTAAGCAAACTAAATGAACCTGGTAGTTCGCATTCTCATACATCAAAAAGTGTGCCAAAATCATCAAATAATTTGGCAGACTTAGTACATTGTAATGATATTTCGAAGAAACCATTTAAACTGCCAATTTTAGAAAATTTACCTGGAACTGCCAGTGCCCATCAAACAGAACTTGAAGAAAATGCTGTTGCACTTTTGGAACCATCATCCTCTAAAGGTTTAGAAATAGAACCTCGATCTTCAAATAGTAGCGATGCAAGTAATTCTGATACAGAATCACAACAAGCAGTTTTAGGTCATAATGGGACCAAAAAGGTGCAGTTTCATTAATTATGTTAAAGTATCCAATTAATTTTTATGACAATAACTAGTTTAGCTTTTTATTATTTTCTGTGTTTAGTGCTATTTATGTGTTTGTAATATTTTAGTATTTTTATTGAATTATTTAAATTTTAATATTTGGCAAACATATAAATCAGTTGATAATACAAAAAATTGATTATGTGGAAATTGCATGATAATGTAGAAAACATGTTCTTGTATAAATGAACTTTTTTGCATTTGCATATTATAATAATTTAGAGAGAAGTTTGCATTCCACTTCTGTTATCGTGTAATTTTCAAAAATAAATTTTTTTATCAACAAAAAGATGACTGGACATTTTCCATAAAAATGCAATACATGCGTTCGAAATACAGTACAGAATTAGTACACAACAATTTGGAATATGAATGGTCATCTTATTATAATTATAAACTAACAAAACTGTATCACTTGGACACCTTGTTTATTTCCTTCACATCTATATATATATGCATGTGCGATAAAACTACAATTTAAAAGTTTTCAACAATTAATATTACACTCCTTCAAGCTTAGAAATTGTAATATGAACATTATTAATAACATAATTGTCTTCGGAACTAGAATTTATTAAATTTATTTTACTTCAGAGGCCATGTGATATGAATGGTATTGTAACAAAAGAAGGTGTGGAATATTATCAATTATGGCGGAGTTCAGAAGGTTTTTCATTTCCGGAAGGTTTATATGAAACATTGTACCCAAATCCTCCACCACTTCCACCACGGGTAACGCACAAACTTTTACACAGAAGCAATGCTTTGCCAACTGGTCCGCCAGAATTACCCAAAAGACATCTTCAAAAATACTCTGCACCTTTGCACCCAGAAGATTGCTTTGGATTTGAAATTGTAGATGTTGATGAAGCTTCTAATTCAAAGGTAATTTAAAGAAATATATATGTGCACCACAGTTAATTGGTAAGTATAACAGTAAACTCTATGTTTGATATGTTGTTGGATTTCTGGGTATGAATTTTAAAAACATTCTTTCCTTTTATGTAAATTGTTTATTTTTTTTAACTAAATATTGTAAGTTACATATTGTTAAATTTTTACATATTTTATGTAATATTTTAGTCACGAAAAGCTGTTACGAAAAGCATAGCATTGTTAAGTTCACCCAGAGCACATAGGCCATTGGAGAGACCAGAAACCGGATTGACAAATCAGATGGAATGTCCACCAACACCTACACATCGTCCTAAACCATTACGTCCATTACCGATGTGCCAAACATCCAATGTACCAGTTTCCTCCGAAGAACCTCTACCTCCATGTAATATAATAAAATTGCAGTCATTTTTAATTATTCTGTAAGACCAAGCAGAAATGAACTAATTAAATGCGTTATTGTTGTAGCATGGGAAGCAAGAATCGATAGCCACGGTCGAGTGTTTTACATAGATCATATTAATCGAACTACGACTTGGCAGAGGCCCAATTTAACAACACGAAACACCGGTTGCGATCTTCGAAGGCAGCAATTAGATCGACGTTATCAGAGCGTTCGTCGAACTATATCCCGGCCAGATAATATTGATCGTGAACCGACTAGCTCGCAATATGCAAACGGGAATAATTTCGAAAATGCTGATCGATCTAACGAACGAACTGAAAGAAACGATTCTGAACCGTTTGATATTACCATGAGCCCTCCAGTATTGTTTCTAATAAGGCCCGACTTTTTTACAGTATTACATGGTAATACGGAGGCAGTAGAATTGTATAATCGGAATTCCAGTTTAAAACACATGATCAGTAGAATCAGAAGAGACAAGGCAGTCTTTCCCAGATACGAGCATAACAGAGATTTAGTTGCACTGATAAATTTATTTGCCGATCCAAATAAGGAACTTCCAAGAGGTTACGAATCAAAACTTGACAGAACAGGCAAAGTAAATATGACTTAATCAGTTGAATGATTAAGCTATTTTATGAAAGCGAATCACTGTTTTTAAATGCGTTAATTTAATTTCAGAGATTTTTTATTTGTCACGCCAGAAAAGCAACGTCTTTCATCGATCCAAGATTACCTACCGAACCAACACATACTCGGGCATTATTAGACGAAGCACCAGTACCACCACCTAGACCGCAACAATCAGCTATTACAACTGCACCCGAAATACCTGTAGCTTATAATGACAAAGTTGTTGCCTTTTTACGCCAACCCAACATAATGGATATATTAAAAGAAAGGCACTCGGCATTAGGACAAAATATTGCACTTCGAGAAAAAGTCAATACTATAAGAATTGAAGGCACAACTGCTTTACAACGATTGGGTCACGATGTACCACTAGCTTTATTGTTAAGGTATAAGTCGATATTAACTTTAATTGTAGTAAGAGATAAAGTAATATTAAAACACTGAATTTATGATTGTAGCTTATTTGAGCAGGAAATTATGTCATATGTACCTGGAAATGTGGGCAGATCTCCGCTGGGTAGTCCACATGCTTCACCTGGCTTAACGAGAGCATCTGCAAGAGCCCCAGCTCCGTATAGGAGAGATTTTGAAGCTAAACTTAGAACATTTTACAGGAAACTAGAAAGTAAAGGATATGGCCAAGGTCCAGGAAAGTTAAAGTAAGTTTATATTGATCTAACATATACTAACTTGAACTATACATTTTATACATTTTTTATTTTATTTAGGTTGCACATTAGAAGAGAGCATCTCTTAGAAGATGCCTTCACTCGCATTATGGCTGCTTCAAAGAAAGACTTACAGAAAGGCAAATTAGTAGTAATGTTTGATCATGAAGAAGGTTTAGATTACGGTGGACCATCTCGAGAATTTTTCTTTCATCTGTCACGTGAACTTTTTAATCCTTATTACGGATTATTTGAATATTCTGCTAATGATACTTATACCGTGCAAGTATCACCAATGTCAGCATTCGTCGATAATTACCATGATTGGTTCAGATTCTCGGGCAGAGTTTTGGGATTAGCATTAGTTCATCAGTATTTGCTTGATGCCTTTTTCACGAGACCATTTTACAAAGCTCTTTTGAGAATACCAGCTAGCCTGAGTGATTTGGAAAGTTTAGATCAAGAGTTTCATCAAAGTTTAATGTGGATCAAAGAGAAAGATATTAGCATTGAATCATTAGAATTGACATTCTCCGTAACGGAGGAATTATTAGGACGAGTAGCTGAACGCGAATTAAAACCCGGAGGTAGAAATATTCCGGTAACTGAGAAAAATAAAAAAGAATATCTTGAAAGAGTTGTGCGTTGGAGACTTGAGCGTGGTGTTGCTGAACAAACGGAATCATTGGTTCGTGGATTTTATGAAGTTGTAGATCCACGGTTAGTATCCGTTTTTGATGCACGGGAATTAGAATTGGTGATAGCTGGAGCAGCCGAAATTGATCTTAATGATTGGAGAACACATACAGAATATAGAAGTGGTTATCACGACGCTCATCCAGTAGTAGAATGGTTTTGGAGTAGCATAAGTCGATTTACTAATGAACAACGATTGAGACTATTACAATTTGTTACTGGTACATCAAGCATTCCATATGAAGGATTTGCAGCTTTACGTGGGTCTACAGGACCGCGGAAATTTTGCATTGAAAAATGGGGGAGACCAAACAGTTTGCCCAGGTATATACATTTGTCTTAATGTACTTATAAAAATAACTATAATTTTTATTACTGGTTTGTGATAGCGTTTGACCTATTGCTAATGCTAATATGTTTTCAGAGCTCACACATGCTTTAATCGCTTGGATCTTCCACCGTATCCTACACCTGAGATTTTATATGAAAAGCTTTTATTGGCAGTAGAGGAAACAAATACCTTTGGGATAGAATAAAACAAGTTTATTACGATTACAGCAAATATATAATGGTATAACGGAAACATGAAGCTTCATATTATTTAAATGAAGTATTTCATTATGGATGTAAAGGTATACTCGTCGCGTAATTTATCGTTCATAAATGATTGGATTTTTAAGATCATTACAATCAAAACTGTATCAAAATGTAAATATCGAAGAGAAAAAACAGTTGCGCATATTTTGAAAATTTTAAATATTGTATACATGTTGCTGTAATCTATTTATATTATAAAAACTGAATTATAATTCGCGAAGTAAATGACTTGTATAAAAGAGATTCGATCTATTGGAAAAAAATATTTCAATAAGAATACAAATAATTACTTTTGTTCGAACTTTAATGATTATAAAGATTGTTGAAAGAACGTCATAGATATAGTAAAAAAAATAATTGAATTTGCAATTAAAACAAAACATGTGACTTATTTAATATAACTTATATACAAGTTTTCTTTTCTTTACATTTTGCGAAAATACTCTTAAAAACTTTTTATGAAAATTGAAAAACAAACAGCGCATTTCATAAAAAAAAATACGTAGTGCAGTTATAGTAGTAATTTATTCTGTGGTCTACTTAGTTCATAGGTACAATGATGATTTCTAGTCTATATTTTTAAATATTGAATTTGCAGCTATTTTTCTAATGTTTTCAGACATTCCACGTCAATTTATTTAATACTGTCACGATCAGTTTATAATATTGTACAAGAGAATAAGGAAACCATTTATATAACAAGTAATTTTTACTGGAGATGTTTAAGAATATCTCTTCATGAAATATTAGTGCGGTTTACAAACATTTTTCTAATATGTTTTATCTAATTTGTCTTTCAAAAATCAAATATTTATAAAATATCCAAAAAAACCCAATGAATAGACAACGAACATATGAATAGTATATGAAAAATATAAAGTCAATGAAAATAATCGTAATAATTCAATTATTGTTCCAACTTTTTATTTCGCATTTAGAATTAATATAAACATTTCACAGAACTGTTGTTAATATATAGAATATTTGTTTGCAATTTGTTCTCTCAGTTCTTTAATACTAATTATAGCAAAAATACGTGAAAAATATTGTAACGTTACTTGAAGAATTAATGGACATACATGTCCCTGCTTCAAGATTTACTCTACCTCTTGAACTTTAATCTCGCTTCTGCGGCTTTTCGCAAAAAAATGTTCATCTTTTAATCGTTCAGTCGTTCCTTATCTCTAAAACAAGGAAATATAATGAAATACAAAATAGACACACTGGTTCCTGAAGCTGTGTAAAAAAAATACAACCTTGTTTATACAATTTCTAAATTCTGCAATTATAAATGTAATTTGATAAAGTTGTTCGTTAATTAAATAGAATTTGAAACAGATTAAACACAAACGAACATTGGCAAGGGTAATGGATTGCTAGATGAAATATAACACCATTTTTGAATATATAATATTTACCTAACAGAATTTCGTTTTTGCGATTCTTTAATTTTATATGGCGATAACGGCGACGATGTTAACAAACAATAATAATCTTAATGTAGTAATTAATAACAACAATATTTATTAAATGGAAATACTAATATTATGTGATCGTTGAACGTAAGTTACACTTTATATTATTTGTAAACTAGTCACGTAGCATAGCAGAATTGTAGACTAATTAGTATATATTGTATACAGGCATTATAATCTTAGATAACTCGATATTTACAATGAACCATGACTGTGTGAGAGCATTCTTTACTTTATTGTTAAAGAAAATAAAATGTGCCTCTTTTGTTATGTTACATTAAACATTGTTATTTTTCACTTATATTCGCCGAACATCTTTTATTTAAAAATAAAAATTATAACGATGGTAATTACGGTCAAATAAATTCATCATGATAAGAAGAAATATCCAGAGAAATTTGGAACTTAACGACTACGTATATTGTGAAAAGTCTAATTTAGTCGTGGTATGTTATATTATACAATTTTCTAAAAATATGTACCGGAAACTTGTATGATCACGTTTTTTCATCTACTAACTTCAAGTGGAAAATTATATATCACGTTAAATTTTGAATGCTATTCGATTTCATATTTTACAATTTTATTATGATGTAATGAGAAAAATATTATTGCAAAAAAAATATTACACATTTTTGATTCACAAAATTTATTTACATAATTTAAAATCAATTTATTATTTCTATTCCATATGTACAATTTATAAAAAAAAAGTTTCATTTTTTAACGGAAATAATGTAAAACATATTTCTGCCAAAAAGTGTAGTGCAGAGGAATGATGCAATTCCTGCATACGCATGGTGTAAAATCGGTTTAAATCAATAAATGCCAGGCTACGAAGGTCACGACAGGACATAAGAATAAAAATAATGAGGGTACAGGAACATAGCCCGCATCGTAAAAGTAAAAAATCGATGAAGATATTCGTACGGAAGTGATACAAAAAATTAATGAACGTTGTGGTTTAATTTTAGAATTCTGTAGCAGAATAGTATACAGGGTATCTTTACAAACATGGACATTAAAAGTAATAATGAAACCAATCCTATTATTTGATAAACGGATATGACTGATTGAACAGGACTTATTAAACTATTATGAGATCTATTCGCTTGCAATATTATTTCCTAAAGACATTAAATTTTAAAGTTTTAAAGTAAAAATTGTTCATATTTTAATATTTAACGCGATCCATTCAAGATCAATTCTCGAAACATCAGTAGATCGGGATCCATATTTTGAAAATCTCTGTATGTCAGATTGTGGGATTCGGAAACCGAGTTCATCCGGTTTTTACCGAGCCGATCCGATGAAATACACGTATGCGGAAAGATTAAATCAAATTTCGAAACCCCGAAACTTTCGGGATCCCGATTCACATCAATCAAGATCTTACTAGAAGTTTGCAATCCGCGCTCGATTTCGAAAGTTCGGGATCTCACACACCCTAGACACGTGAGATTTAATAGAAAAGACAAATAATAGTTCAAATTTGACGAACTTTCGACTATATCAATTGTCAGTAATATTTCGCGTAAAAAATTGATCAGTTCTAAGTAGGGAGTAACTGCGAATTGAATTGCGCAAAAATTTTTAATTTAGAAAATTACTTTTTGTCCTATTTTTTGGGAGAATCGACCACAGTGCGACGTGTACACAGTCACGGCAACGTATGATATTCATTGGTGATGTTTCGAGTGCGCAAGTAGCGAACAAGCGTTGCACGACGCGCGCGCACGTTTAGTCAGCCGCGTTTGCGCTAAAACTTTGCCTAGACTTCTGATCAATTGCTTTTTTAGAGAATCGTATATAATCAAAGATCTCGTTCTAATTTAGTTTAGAATAGTGATGTATTAAAAGGTAATATCGCCGTAATTATTCTTATCGTCCATGTTCCTTTCCCGGTTCGGTGTAAGCGCAATAGTCGATTCTCACCTTTGCACACGCAAATCAGTCCACCCGCAAAAATCGTCGAGCAACGGCAGCCATCTTTACTGGCTCCGAAACGGGCTGTGGTTTGTGACAGAGAGACGGTAGTGGTTCTTGATGCGGTTCGCGAGACCATCTCGTCGCCTATGCACTCTACAAGGGATCGGAAATCATTCTTAAGTGCGGTTAATCAGAAGAACTAAGGAACTCGTGTCACGAATCCGAACTACCAAAATATGGCAATGGAGACGCCGAGGGAGCGTGAGATTCCCGCGGAGGATAGTATTAAGGTAGTTTGTAGGTTTCGACCATTGAACGACTCGGAGGAAAAGGCTGGCTCCAAGTTCATCGTCAAATTTCCTTCTGGCGGCGAAGAAAATTGCATTTCTATCGGGGTATGTAAAACATACGTCATTCTCTTTTTTAGTTATTACTGCTCGTTAACCGTGTTCGGCCTACGTGTGATGTCACCGCACACAGCTGACAGCTGCTTTTGAGTCCTTCTTCTGCGGTATTTTACATGATATGAATTTAACGCCGTTTCGAGCATATTTTAAATATCATACTATGATTCACATTTGTTATCTTCGATGAAATCGATTTTATTCCACTTCATTGACGCACCTATTTACACCACCGATTAAATTTTAATTTTGAAATAGACATGTTCGCTAATTATCGTCTTATTTTTTTTCGATTATGGAAATAATTGATTGTTTCTTCAGCAGCTAAAATTGTTGCTCTTCCGAATTTATTATTTCTATAAATATTTTGTATGAATTTCAAGTTCGCGAAATATTTAATGAAAGGAGGAGTGTCGAATAAGGCTCTATTTTGGTCCTTGGAGTTAAAAAAAAAATGAAGTATTTATTTTTATGGAATTTATGTACATTTTGAGAATAGATCATATATCTGGAAATATATATTCATCATGTATCATAAAGTTCATTGTTAATTACAGTATGATGTCTTTTAAAGAAACCTTAAATATTCCCTTCAGACTTCAATGAATTTCCTTACATATAGTTTTATGTATAGATCATCAAAAATTTATTATTTAATATTAAAGTTTTACCAGAATTTATCTTTATTTCCAATAAAAAGATCATGGTTACCTAAAAGCTATCGGAATAATATTTTTGTACATAAGTATAGTGATTAGTAATTTACAAAGAGACCAATCACTGTTCTGAGATTTCATTTGTTTATATTAAAAATAGGTGTAACAAAATTACGGAACAATCTGCATGAGACTAATTTATGTGCTTTAGAATTTTTCACAAATTAGTTAGAGTTATAAGTATATTGATTGTAAAATAAATTGTAGGAAATAGTTACATAAAATTGGAATGCGAGATAAAATTGATAAACTACATTTTAAATTTGAAAAAAGAAACTTTGAGCATGGTAAAAATTATAAAAATTATAATCAAGAATAGATATGAGATCATAAATTTCTTCAAAAGTGTTGATATTGCAGATAATTGAGAAGTATAGGAAGTCAAGATATTATTAACGCTCGAGAAACTTGTACCATTCTAAGAATTACATCTAATTCAACATTAGCGATGCAAGAATTTACAAGTATGAACTTTAGATATGAACACAACATAAGAAGGAAAAAATGACAATGTGTTATGTTCATTGATAAAAAGAACATAATTCAATTTTTCATGAACAGTTATGAAATGTATATACATGCAAAGAATAATTTAATTCAACTAATGAGTTAGAAGCAGTAATAAAGCAAGCACAGAGAATAATATTCAAAATATTTGTTATAAAATTTATTTAAATTATTACTTAAATAAAGATGGAAAAATTATTAGTTATATAATAACATGTAACATTTCTTCTACATATTATAGTTTTCACCTGAATTTCTAAACTTGTTTTATCATTTCACTTTATCCTTTTTTAATACAAACTGATAAGATCTTTAGAAAAAACTATTGACAGTGATTAGGCTCTTTGTAAGATACTCACGGAAATATGGCTTTTGTGCTAAAACATTGGATTTGTGAGACCATAAAAGGGTGTATAGGGATATTCGTAACTTGAAGTAAAAAAATTGAAGGAGACTAAAACAAAGTCTTATCAATATTCCTCTTATATTCAAATTCTACACTAATCAATGATTCTATACTTATGCTAAGTACTATAGCATAGTTGCACAATATCGAATAATATTAAAAAGTAAATTTTTTTGAAGTATATAAATAAACATAGATAAAGTGATTACTATCAATGATCTCAATTGACAATACTTTCCTAACTGATAATGAAATATTATTGTTTTCAAATTTCATATTATAAGATTAATAATCTCTATATGTTATCTAGCTCATGCTTTTGTAATTATCTCTAACTAAGAACACCAAAAACTTTTTATCATCATATGTTATTTGTAAGAAATAATAATTTTAGTATTCTTATTACAATTAAAATTATTTGTAATACATTTAGTTCTGATTACACATTTTCTTTCTCTACTTGAATATATCAGTTCGTACGAAAGCCTTTTGATCTCCTTTAAAACGTGGCAAAGATATTGCTATTGTTTCAAGAGCCACATGGAACAAAGCCTTATTCAGTGAAAATGCTCTTCTTCTTGCCTTATACTTCTTCATACTACATAGAGTTTAAGGGATATGTCTTTTCTCATGAAGTTTTCATTATATTTTACACAAACCATTTGCAGAATAAAAATAGTTTTATTGAATCTGAGAAATTGATAAATGTTTCTGTATTATTAATTTTTATAATTAATATCATATGGATTACTTAAATATGTCTTTCTACTTAATACTGCAATGTTATTTTAGGGAAAAGTATACCTTTTTGACAAAGTATTTAAACCAAATGCTACTCAAGACAAAGTATACAATGAAGCAGCTAGATCAATTGTCACAGATGTGTTGGCAGGATACAACGGCACTATTTTTGCATATGGTCAAACATCTTCAGGTAATGGGACATAAGAAGAATTAGTAATATATGACAATAGATGTCAATACATTTTATTGACAAAATATCTGTACATAATTAGGAAAAACACATACGATGGAAGGTGTTATTGGAGATCCAAATAAACAGGGTATTATACCCAGAATTGTTAACGACATTTTCAATCATATTTATGGCATGGAAGAAAATCTGGAATTTCATATTAAAGTATCATACTTTGAAATTTACATGGATAAAATCAGAGATCTCCTTGATGGTAAGATTCTTATTAGACAACTTAAAAATACATTAAAAGGGACATATCTCTTATTAAGTACTTATTGAATTTTTTTGCATCTATTATCACTGCTTATATTTTCAGTGTCTAAGGTGAATCTCAGTGTACATGAAGATAAAAATCGAGTTCCATTTGTAAAAGGTGCAACAGAGCGCTTTGTATCTAGTCCTGAGGAAGTATTTGAAGTTATAGAGGAAGGAAAATCAAATAGGCATATTGCTGTGACTAATATGAATGAGCACAGTTCGCGTTCTCATTCTGTGTTTTTAATAAACGTCAAACAAGAAAATTTAGAGAACCAAAAGAAGCTTTCTGGAAAATTATATCTTGTTGATTTAGCTGGTTCAGAGAAGGTATGTATGATTTATTTAGATAAATTATTCATTATTTTTATTTTTGAACATAATTATTATGTTTATTTTATACTTTAGGTTTCTAAAACCGGAGCAGAAGGCACTGTGCTTGATGAAGCAAAAAATATTAATAAATCTCTGTCCGCTCTTGGCAATGTAATTTCAGCTTTAGCTGATGGAAATAAAACTCACATTCCTTATCGTGATTCAAAGTTAACTAGAATTCTGCAAGAATCTCTTGGTGGAAATGCTAGGACTACAATTATTATTTGTTGTTCACCAGCTAGTTTCAATGAATCAGAAACAAAATCCACTTTAGATTTTGGTAATATGCGAAATTTTTCAAATTTCTTTGACAAATACATGTAGTTGTTTAACTAGTTTTGTATGTATTTTTCAGGTAAACGCGCTAAGACTATCAAAAATGTTGTATGTGTTAATGAGGAGTTGACAGCTGAAGAATGGAAGCGTCGCTATGAGAGAGAGAAAGAAAAGGCAGCTAGATTGAAAGGAAAAGTTGAGAAACTGGAGGCGGAATTATCACGTTGGCGACAGGGTGAAACAGTTAAACCAGAAGAACAAGTTAGTCTGGTTGAAGGGCCAGATGTTACAACACCGATCAATATGTCCATCGAGGGTAATTGTTTAAATCAATTGATGAAAATTAAGATATTATATCCCATAAACTATATGATTATTATAAATATCTAGGTAAACTTGATGATGGTCCAATGCCAGCTACTCCTGGTGGCAGTTTGTTAGCTGGTTCCTTGTCCAATGAAGAAAGACAGAAATTAGAGGAAGAACGCGAAAGACTTTACCAACAATTAGATGATAAGGACGAGGAAATTAATCAACAGTCACAATATGTCGAGAACTTAAAAGAACAAATAGACGAACAAGCAGAATTAATTGCTACTGCAAGACGCGAATACGAGAAGCTCCAACAAGAAATGAATCGAATACAACAAGAGCATGAAAATGCTAAAGAAGAAGTGAAGGAAGTTTTACAAGCACTGGAGGAGTTAGCAGTTAATTACGATCAGAAATCTCAGGAGGTAATCATTAACAATGTATTATGTTCTTTGTATTTAAAGACCTTAAAAGAAACTGTTATATCACCTGTATATTCTTACAGGTTGAAATAAAGAACAAAGAGTTGGAATCCTTGACAGAAGAACTTTCAACGAAACAAGCAGCATTGAATAGTACTTGGTCAGAATTACAGCAATTACGTGACATGTCTGCTCATCAAAGAAAACGTATTGCCGAAATGTTAGCGAACTTCTTAAAAGATCTGGGTGAAATTGGAGTAGCTATTGGCGGCGAAGAAAACTTGAAGGTAAATGAATCATTTGAGATATCCCTACGATGTTTGTGTAACTGAAAATATTTAAACAATTATATTTCGTAGGTTGCGCAAGAAAGTAATGGTAAACTCGAAGAAGAATTTACGGTAGCACGACTTTTCATTAGCAAAATGAAATCAGAGGTGAAGAATTTAGTACAACGTTGCCAAGGATTAGAAAGTTTCCAAGTAGACTGTAACAAGAAAGTAAGCGTTCGATTTCGTACTCTTTGAATTAATTGCTTTTCAGTTTACACGTTATGATACTCATTCATAAATTTTAGGTTGCTGAATATGAAAAAGATCTGGCCGAATGTCGTTTATTAATTTCGCAACACGAAGCTCGCATGCAAACACTAACAGAATCAATGAAAGTAGCTGAAGCACGTAAACGTGCTTTAGAAGAAGATGTTGACGCTTTGCGCGAGGAATGTGCCAAGTTAAAGGCTGCAGAACAGGTACAAGCAGTTACAAACAAAGAAAAGGCAGAAGAGAAAGAAGCAGCAACGAAAATGAGAGTAGCATTGGAGGAACAAATGGATCAGTTACGAGATGCTCACCAGAAACAGGTTTCTATTTTATAAAATATGTAATTAACTTATCAGATCAAGGTTGTATGTGGTATTGCTAATGTTTAAATATTATAACAGGTTGCTGCGCTCAGAGATGAGTTATCTGAGAAACAAGAGTTGATTAGCGAACTTAAAGACTTGAATCAGAAGTTCACATTAGCGCATCAACAAATGCAAGCCGATTACGAACGATTGAAACAAGAAGAAGCAAACAAATCTGTGAAACTTCAAGAACTTATTTTACTTAACGAACGCCGTGAACAAGTATGTGAAAATTTGATCGTGACATGTAATGGACAACCGGAAATTGTATTAACTACTTTATTTTTTATAGGCTCGAAAAGACCTCAAAGGTCTAGAAGAAACAGTAGCCAAAGAACTTCAAACATTGCACAATTTACGTAAATTGTTCGTCCAAGATCTCCAGACTAGAATAAAGAAGACTATGAATGCGGAAGATAACGAAGATGATGGTGGATCACTTACACAAAAACAAAAGATTTCCTTCCTCGAAAATAACTTGGATCAGCTTACAAAGGTATGTTATAAATTGTCATCGTATGTTCTTTTTATTCTTAACATTTGTGTGTCTTTATAGGTTCACAAACAACTAGTGAGGGATAATGCTGATCTCCGATGCGAATTACCTAAACTTGAAAAGAGATTACGAGCAACAGTGGAGCGTGTGAAAGCTCTTGAAACAGCATTGCGAGATGCCAAAGAAGGTGCAATGCGAGATCGCAAACGCTACCAGTATGAGGTAGATAGAATTAAAGAAGCAGTTAGACAAAAGAATTTGGCCCGTCGTGGACCTAGTGCACAGATTGCTAAACCAATCAGAGCTGGTCAACACCATTTAACTAATCTTAACGCTATTAAAACAGTAAATCGTGGTAAGTAATTAATTTGTAGATAATTACTTATTTTATAAATTTATCTTCTAACTATAAGATAGTGAATTTGTTCGATTTTTATGAAATGACATTGTATTTCACAATTTCAAGTGTTTGTTGTAGAGTCACTATATGGCCTTAGACCAACATTTTAATGCATAAATGTAGGAAGAAAGGACTTCTATTAGCTTTTTCGTTCGTTGGCGATCGCTTCTTCACTGTTTTCACATACATGCACCACATTTTACTTTAAAACGTCATTTTCGCCGTTTACTTGCAGTTCCCCTCGTTCACTCACTCACTCACTCTCTACATCTCCTATCCATCTATAATGGTTAACAAAATCGAACAACTTCATGTATAATATATCTAATTGATTAGAAATTATTAGACAATTTTTATTTATACATATATTTTTTAACTGAATAAAACTATTACTTATATAACTAATTTTTAGTTAATTAATATTTTTGTTAACTCAGTTTTGATATTTGTTTATTTTTTTTCATGTTTCTATTCAGATATGGGTAACAACGTACCGTGATCGTGAGCATAATGCCAAAACCTTCACTTTTACAGAAAACGAATGCAAGAACGCTTTCATCGATAAAAACAAAAGAGTTCCAGGGACTTTAATTTATAGTGGATACACATAAATGTTACAATTATATAGTAAGGGTAATAGACGTAATATATCCGCAAGGAGCACCGCCAGTTCTTTTTATTTGTCTCGAATCAAGCATGTGCTTAGGTATATTCAAATAAGTGCATTAAGTTATGAAATTAATGCTGCATGTCCTATCGATTTGTAAATAGTTAATTTTTATAAATTATTTAATTTAATATCATGCACGATAAATAAAGGTGAATGTCTATCAAATAATCATGCAAAGGCCTCTCGTAATAATGATGTACTATTTATTTCAAGTCGAAAGTTTGTATATTATGTTCTATGTATCAAATGTTTAAAAACTTTTTAAAAAAACAAACAGGTTATATTTATTGCAGAATAAAAATAATAAATTCCCGAAAGTGACTAAAGACGATTCGTTTGACTTGTCCATAGTAAATCTGCTATCGACATTAAATTTGCGAACAAACGAGGCAGTAATATATTAAGATTTGGTAGGTATCGCTAACATAAAATGCGATTGGACATGCGGCTTTGAAAAAAAAAATTGTAGGAATGATCGTGGCTTATAAGTATTTATAATTGTAAGAATTCTCTCCATCGCTATTAACAAATTTGTGACAACAGACTTTATTCGGACCTGTTTAGAAAGCCCGCTTAATCAAGAATTAAGTTTGTTGGCTGTTCTGGTAATTATGAAGGTCCAGGAACCAATGGCTTTATGAGAGAACGTTTACGACAGAACAATTTCATCCCTATCTTCCTTCACGTTTATTTTATTAATTATATAGTATAGTTTTCATTGCATCAATCTTTATACAATCATCTAATTTAAATTAATTTATTATCGCTTTTTCTTGTTTATATCAGAGGCTTTTATACTACACTTACAGTTTACAGACCGACAAAAGTTGGTCTGCAGTAAGTTTCTTTTCTCGTTTTAGTCAGTTTACAATTTCTTCATGATGAGCTTACGCTCAAAAGTTACCTAGATGTATATCGTACGTCTAATTGAGAGCTATTGCACAGGTCTGCTTAAGTTCCTAAAACCTGTTGCAGGCCACTGAAAATTGACTCATGCACACATTTTCTTTTTTGTCCTTCCAGTGTAATTGTTGAATAATAACGTATACATATTTTTTTAAGTAATTCTAATCCTTAATTATATTTGTCAATGATTAATGCTTCTCGACGTATACTTTTTACATCTATTTTCGTGATTATTTTATACACGGTTCTCTTAGAAATTTATGAGCCACACGTACTTGATGTATTGTCTAGAGCAGGAGAATTCTAAATATTATTATAATTTAAGATATAGTTTTCGTAAACTGTGCGCAACAAAATACCTGTTTGTTTGTGATACGCCGGAATCTTGTTACGCTCAGATCGTTTATGGTATGTAGGCAAAAAGAATTAACATTTTCTTTATAAATCATTCTCTTTCACGTTGTTATGAACAACGGACAGAAATCATATTTCCATGTGAGATCATTTTTGTCATCTTCCGTTTTTTAACTTTTGTGATATCGAGGGTGAAATTGTGTTTGCTGATATGCAAAGACAAGTGCGTGGTGCATAATGAGTGCAATTATTATCGAAATATTCTTGTCCAATGTATGTAAATATAATCGTACCCCATTACATTACTTTGGCAAATTGACAAATCTATCTTTGCAAAAATGCCCTGTTCGTAAAAAGGCTACAAGTACATGTATTTATCGCAAAACACACTTAATATTAGCATTTCAAAGCCTTAACAATTTTCAAAATATTATCATGCGATTATGTATTTTACATTCTATCGTGCAAATAAGGTATCAATGTATCTGCTGAACTTCGAACGTGATTCAATATTTTCTTAAATTATTTCATTGTAAAGTAAAATACTAGCTAATTTTTCAGTTATGAATTTTGGGCATCTACTACTTTTCCTTACTGCATAACATTTATTTTTATAGTGTATTATAAAGACATTCATTTCTTAATACAAAACAAAATCTAAAATGATGTTTTTGTCACGTTTAAAATATTAAAGTTATTCAAATTAATGCAATATTTTTTTCTGTTAGATAATATTTGTTATTTTTTTACTTCATAATTTATATAATTTGTGTAACTGAAACAAATAATGGAGCTTAAAGAATTCCCCGAATTTTATTGTATAAAAAAATACGTAAAAAGTGAGATGCTTGTCAGGAAAGATCTTTCTAATCGAAAATTCTCGATATACGCATAAAAAAAGAACAGAAAGAATACCAGAGTTATTATTATTTTCTTAATATGTTGAATGTGTTTAAAATTATAACAAAAAGAAAAAGTAGTTGACTTGTAATGGTATATTCACACAAGAAAACAAGAATTACTGTTAAAAACGAGGTTGATCTATAACCGCTGCCGTTTTTTTGTAAACTGTACGAAATATGCGGATGTGAAGGAAATAAATAAGTTGACAGATGTAGATATTCGTTTCATTGTTTTAGAAACATACCGAAGAAAATGTACAGAGAAAGTGCGACAAATTCATGTAGCTTAATATCATGTGCTTTGTTACACTATGCTTCAAAAAATTATTGTATAATCTCATTACATGCGTTGATTTAATCAATTTCCACATCATATGAAATCGCAGACACTTTAGAAAGAAATTATACTGAAGCTCGATGGTGCATAGCAAAGTCTTTAAGTATTAAAGTAGATTTACTATATAAAAATGCCAATGCAAGTAATAAATTCTCTTTTACTGCATGCCTTGTCTAGATATAATATCATTTGAAATTCTTGATCTTGTTCAGGTCTACCTCATCTGCAGCAGAAAGTAGAATGAAGTAGGAATTTCAAGAAATTTTCTTAGAATTAGGTGGTAAATTTATATGCAGAATTTACAGAGGCTGTAACTACAAGGTACTACATAATCATAAACTCTCATTTAATTAAAATTGCTTCTAAGAAATGTACTATTATCATTCTTATTAATTACCGCTTGATTAATAAAATCAAGTCAATGTCTGCATTAAGAACATTTTTGAGTGAAATACTATTTAAATTTTAAATACTAATTCTTAGATAGCATATTTATTTAATAATAAAATAATTTATATTATCTGTAATATTTGCATTTATTTGATAGTCAAAACAATGAATATTTAACTATCCTTAGTGATTTTATAATATTGTTATCCGTGTAAATATATATATGATGATTTACATCTTAGTTCGGTGTTACAATAAACTAAATATTTATTTCATTCATTTGCTTGTTATTGTACCATTTAAAGATGGATGCTATGAACTGGAATTTAAAACAGCCATGTGTAGGGAGCTCATCGTTAACAGATGTACGAAACAAATTATTTCCAAAGAGTAAACTTGATCGAGCACCAGTATTAAGTGAACCAAAGTACACGCCAAAAACATTAGTGGGCAACTGGTATGAGCGCAGAGCAGAACATGTACCTCAATCTGATAATTGGAAAACAACGTATGACATAGATTATAAAGCTCATATTAATAAAACTTGGGAAAAAAATCAGAATGCAAAGTGGGATAACAAACTGAAACTTGAGGTACAGAAGACACTTTATGGATATAATTTAACATAACTAAATAGCATTCAACTAAACTAAATAGTATTCAACAAGTGTAATTCTGTTAAACAACAATGTTTTTAAATATCACTTTATAATAAGGGTTTAGCTCAAGAAATATTACTAAATCATAGAAAGGAGTATAGAGACAACATGACAACAACTTATGATTTATGTTATAATATTTTACCAAAAGATCTTCAAGAACCTAGAATTAGATCTTATAATGCAAGGTACATTTTCTCTATGTACCAATTAAATATTTCTGTGAGCAACGCAGTGGTAAAGTGATATAAAATTTGTACACTTGAAGACAACGAAAATGGATACCTGAATTAGATTTGACAAAAAGTTTTGGTACACTGACAAACTTTGGGTTAAAAGATATGATGGAAGAAGAAATATATAGGAATTCGGAAGAAGGAATAGCCAAATGTCGATGGGGCACTACTTACACAGAGGAAGTTGGAAGACTGAAACCAATAGATACCGAACCAAACATTAAGTAAGTTAATATATAAAACGGTAATTATTTTTTAAAAATCATTTTGTAATTCTCTATAATTACTAAATTTAATTTTTATAAAGATTCCGCAGACGTGTAGTGGATTTTAATGTACCAGATCTTAAACACCTTGAACGTAAATTACCAAAGGCAAAGCACTGCTTATTTCTAATATAAATTCAACATTAAAAATCAACATAAATTTAAATATAAATTTAATATCCCAGGTAAAGATATTATAATATTTATTAAATTATTTTAACATTATGTTGTAACATAATAAACATGCTATATGTACTTACAAATATGTAGAATGCTAGGAATTTTGTAATTCATACATATATAAAAAATTGTGGAACAGTATGTATTTTTTAGTACTTGTTTCAAATGCATTAAAAATTGCAATTTATTAGCAGTCTTATGAGTCAAAATTGAAAAAAAAGAAAGCAATAGTTATATGGAGGCACAGAGTTATAAACGTAGTACAATTAGACTTAAAAGTTTAAGATTATTTTTACTAAAGTTTCAAAATCATCGCAAAATTTGTATTCTGATGGTGTTTCTTTTTAATGGTATTGCTAACTTGTACTTTTACCGCCTGCGGTTGCTTTAATTATAGAATTATTGAGAAGAATTTAATTTTCATTGTCATTAAAAATGTATTAAATACATACTTGAAAACTTTATTGTACACATTATTAAAAATTGTAATAAAAACTTAGAACATATTAAATCTGAATGAATGATTTAAAAACAAAATTGTTTTTATTTTCACATAAAACAGTACAAGACTGCAAATACCAAAATTTACAAAAACAAAGTCAACATATATTACAATAACAATATTATTCCAACACGATTATAAAGCTATGTATTAATATATTGTGGTGCGTCATGAGAATTTGAAAAATAGTATTAGTCTTTAATGTGTATATGTAATATTAAAATTACATAAAAAGTGGAGAATCATTAATATAAAGAACATAATTTCATATTATCTTCTTAAATCTTAATTCTTAAATTTGTGGACTATGTATATATCTTACTAATGAACACACACGGAGAACATTTTTTTTATCACAAGTTCGACAATTTCGAATGTCATACAAATGTTTCGTCAAATCAATATTTCATTTTTCATTATTTTACGTTTAACTTAATACTCGGATTATTGTCAAAAACTTTATATTTTATACAAATACAAATAAAAAAATAATATCTACTTACAATGACTTACAGCAAATAAATGAATATTAACAAAAATTTGTGATAATAGAAAACTTTACACTGGCAGTATACAGCATCTATTCGTTAACAGAGTGAAATATTTCCATTTCACTAATTAATTACTAATTATTAAAAAATAATTATTCACTAAAACGGTAATCAATGTAATATTTGATTGATAACTAAAATACGTATACACGGCAAATATGAATTAAGGAAGAATAACGGAAAAAAGTATGATTTGTACCCTGTTCAACGTAACAAAGTAGTACACAATACCACTATATTTAGTACAAGTGAACCACATAAAAGAGCCGGCAACCAAACAGGACTTGTTACGATAGTGGTATGACTAGGAAACATTTGAATTTCAGAAGGATTTTTGATATCACTTACGTTCACGTTTTGTCCTTGTAATGATTGATCGATAAAAACTGAATTATTCTTTTTATAAGCCTCGGGCAGTAAAAATGACTGTGATGCATAAAAATTCGGCGACGCACATCTCATTGTTTGATTACTAACTAAACTTTTTGGTTCTGGAAATGAGAAGTATGCATTCTGTTGATTAAAAGATCCAACAGGATGAATATTATTTTGTCTCAAAGTAGAACAAGATTGCGTTACATCTGACATAACTGAACACTGATCGAATTCATGTACAGACGGTTCTCTGGATGGAGCGAAATTAGAACACGTAGAGCCAAAGCCAGAGCTTTGACTGGATGATCTAGACAATGGTGGCACATCAATATCTTCCTGCCAATAACCACCAGCTACCCATGATGTTTGCGTAAATGATTTTAATTTCGGTGGCGATAAAATGTTCCTTTTATTAGCCTTTCTGAAGAGTTCAAGACTGTTTGTACCATACACTTTCTTTTCAAAAATCTTGGGTGCTTTAATTGTATATTTAGGTTTATCTTCACTTAACGATAACATACTTAATGTGCTCAGACTATCGTTCAGTGAAAAGTTTTCTATCACACTTTTTTTATTTGAAAGTACGGAATTAAATATTGCATTACTGTCCTTGGCAGATGATAACTGTGATTCGTGATTTTGACTGTAAGATAATATGCTAATTTAATTCATTGTTTTTATATTATATTTAAAATTAGTTAAAACTGTATTACTTACAATGGAGTTTGAAAAGATGTAACTTTTGAGTTCACTGAATTTTCAGTGTAAAAAGGCGTTTGTTTTGTTGTATTTGATGAGAACAATGATTCATTAGTAATTGTTTTATTTAAATCATTGGCAGCTTTAGAATTAAAATTATGTTCATTTAAAACATTTGTGTATAAATCAGGCAGTGTTGTATCCTTTGTGGAAGATTCAATTTTTTTGAATGACATATTTTTATTTATTGTACTTTTATGAGATTTAGGCTTAATATTGGTAAAGCCTATAGCCAAGATAAATAACATTATCTAGAAAAGAATAATTGGAAATTACTAATCTAATATGGTATGTGTTGAAATATAAATTTCAGTACTATGTATTGTATTTAAATGTTTAGCATACCATATGATAACTTGTTATGTATTCAAGAGAAAACCATGCATTCTGTAAATCTGTTTTAATCAATTTTGCATCTTTAAAAGGTAAAAGTACAATCATACAAATCCAAAAGAATATAAGAAATGTATCAGAATTTCGTTTTCTTGAAGAGCTTGACCAATGAGCACAGACTTGGAAAAATAATCCTCCAATTGGTAAATATACAAAATCCATATTATATGCTATCATAGAACTTAATATCGTTGAAATTGTTCTGCATACTGGTTCAGAATATTTTGTACTCTGCAAAAAATAAAAAAAATATGATGAAAGATAGTTATATAACATCTATTGATTATTAAAATATAAATACCTACATTAATAATTACATTAAAAGGTTTCTTCTTAAAGAATAACATTTTATATTCAGCAAGCCATAATGCTTGTTTCCTTAATACATTATGTACTGTAATTTTACAATTTTTATCTTCACTTAACGATAACATACTTAATGTGCTCAGACTATCGTTCAGTGAAAAGTTTTCTATCACACTTTTTTTATTTGAAAGTACGGAATTAAATATTGCATTACTGTCCTTGGCAGATGATAACTGTGATTCGTGATTTTGACTGTAAGATAATATGCTAATTTAATTCATTGTTTTTATATTATATTTAAAATTAGTTAAAACTGTATTACTTACAATGGAGTTTGAAAAGATGTAACTTTTGAGTTCACTGAATTTTCAGTGTAAAAAGGCGTTTGTTTTGTTGTATTTGATGAGAACAATGATTCATTAGTAATTGTTTTATTTAAATCATTGGCAGCTTTAGAATTAAAATTATGTTCATTTAAAACATTTGTGTATAAATCAGGCAGTGTTGTATCCTTTGTGGAAGATTCAATTTTTTTGAATGACATATTTTTATTTATTGTACTTTTATGAGATTTAGGCTTAATATTGGTAAAGCCTATAGCCAAGATAAATAACATTATCTAGAAAAGAATAATTGGAAATTACTAATCTAATATGGTATGTGTTGAAATATAAATTTCAGTACTATGTATTGTATTTAAATGTTTAGCATACCATATGATAACTTGTTATGTATTCAAGAGAAAACCATGCATTCTGTAAATCTGTTTTAATCAATTTTGCATCTTTAAAAGGTAAAAGTACAATCATACAAATCCAAAAGAATATAAGAAATGTATCAGAATTTCGTTTTCTTGAAGAGCTTGACCAATGAGCACAGACTTGGAAAAATAATCCTCCAATTGGTAAATATACAAAATCCATATTATATGCTATCATAGAACTTAATATCGTTGAAATTGTTCTGCATACTGGTTCAGAATATTTTGTACTCTGCAAAAAATAAAAAAAATATGATGAAAGATAGTTATATAACATCTATTGATTATTAAAATATAAATACCTACATTAATAATTACATTAAAAGGTTTCTTCTTAAAGAATAACATTTTATATTCAGCAAGCCATAATGCTTGTTTCCTTAATACATTATGTACTGTAATTTTACAATTTGCACATAATGGGTATTGTTGTTCTAAACTATCTTTGAACTGTTTTATTTCATACTCATAATTTCTTTCACTTGTAGGTACATATTTAGACAATTTGGATATTTTTAACGTTTCCTTAATGTTACACTGTGCACAAAGATCGTTGTTTGCAACTTTATTGGCCAATGTATCCTGCCTCACTGTACAGTATCTTTTGTTTTCGTTAGCCGAGGTTTTATATTGTTCTGGTATATTATATGCGTAATCACCATTCTAAAATATGACATGGAAGAAAACATACAAACAGTATCCCCAAATATACATGGTAGTGTAAAAAGTATTAATGACACTGTTGAAACAGACTGTTTTGATTTTGCATCAAGATATTCCCATAAACATAAATATATTTAACGAATCAATTAACTCAACCTGGTGAAATAATCAAAATATATTATGCATAAAATAATATTAAATGCATTAAGACATTAAGAACTATTTTTCATTACATGAATGTAACATTTAATACATACCATACATGTATTATTTTGAATTAAGTGTGCTATGAAAGTTTAATTGAATATATTGATTTACCTTAGAGAAACCATTATACTGTTCACAATGTGGACACATCCACCAATTTAGCTGTTGCCGCCAAATCTTAGTATTAGTGTTGCAAAACCAGCAGTTTACTTGTACCGGCCACCTCAATCTAACATAAATAAAACATGGCACAATTGTTACAGTCAATGAAAGAAACAATCTAAAGAAATACTTACTTCAGTTTTTGAACAACAGTGATAATTGTGACCACTGTTAACAAAATGACGGAAAAAATTGGCACGAAATTGAACCACAAGTCGAATTCCATTTTTTTATGCAAAGAAATTGTAATAGTTAAAGACAAAGTTCATCTCCCGCCAACCGGCTAAAATGCCTCTTTCTTAACCTATGTATCCGAAACTGTATAAAAAGCATGCAGTCACGTGGCGTGTTGAATTTGCACGTAGCACTTGATTATGTATTAACTATAGAAAAACACCATTCACCACGCGTATTAAATCTTCATTAAAAGATATAAATTAAATAGATTACAACATCCTAAACAAATTCCCTACCCCACCGCTATTTTATTTCATAAAATTATTATCATCTATCAAGTACCGTTACCGCTCACCCCTTCCAACACTACTTGTAATATGAAGTCATGGATGACATATACAATAGACCAGTCATGCAATGCATTTTTGTGTCACGAAGACGCTAAACTACTCCTATCATTTTTGTGTCACATTCTGCAGCATCGATTGAGATATATTAGAAAAAAATAGAGCAGATTTTCACCCCTTTTAGTATTGAATATTTTATGCAGTATTTGCTCAAAAACTACAAAATCCTTAGCATTATGTTTTGCTTTGTATAATAAATATAATCGATAGTACAAACAGGACATATATTTACGTCATCTCAGGATACATATTGCTAAATACCTATATATATCATTGCCTACATAATGAGCTTTAATATATCAGAATAATATTCCGTTAGAAAATTAATATTTATATAATTCAAATTTTATAATCGATATATTGAAATTATATTAATCGAATGCTATCGATATACGAAGAAATATAGCAATTAATCGATTCTCGAAGTAAGATTGAACATTCGTCTAGTATCATCAGTATCATACCATACCATACATACAGTAGTTCTCAATGACAAGCAATTCCTACAGCGGATCGTATAAAACTGTATAAGATTTAAATTTTAAACTTTTCTCTTCCTTTTTGTAAGTAAATGGCAGTGTAGTATTCGAGAATTTATTGATTATAGTTCAGCATAAATAGTGAGTGCAACAATGACGCTCACAAATAAGGTAAGCGATCTAACCTGTCTTTAAACATATTATTGTATTTAATTTTTAATCATTTTAATATCATAGATGGAAATAGATGAGAAGATCGCAAAAGGAGAAGGTTTTAAACCGTATTACATTACTAAGATTGAAGAGTTGCAATTAATTGTAGCTGAAAAAAGTCAAAATTTAAGAAGATTACAAGCACAGCGTAATGAGCTCAATGCAAAAGGTATATCATTCGTCTCTTCAATTCATTTCTTACGTTTTGTACATGTTGCTATACAAATTTTGTATTTTTTCAGTACGTATGTTACGTGAAGAGTTACAACTTCTTCAGGAACAAGGGTCATATGTTGGAGAAGTTGTTAAACCAATGGATAAGAAAAAGGTTTTAGTTAAAGTACATCCTGAAGGAAAATTTGTAGTAGATATAGATAAAAACATTGATATTAACGATGTAACACCAAATTCAAGAGTTGCATTGCGTAATGAAAGTTATACTTTGCACAAAATTTTACCAAATAAAGTTGATCCACTTGTTTCACTTATGATGGTGGAAAAAGTACCAGATTCTACATATGAAATGGTTGGTGGATTAGATAAACAAATTAAAGAAATCAAGGAAGTTATAGAATTACCTGTTAAGCACCCTGAATTGTTTGATGCTCTTGGAATTGCCCAACCTAAGGGGGTACTGTTATATGGCCCTCCAGGTAAATAAGTGGAAGGAAAATATATTTATTTTTCTGATCATGAAGTATTATCATAACAGTATTTAATCTTAAATTTATGTTCAGGTACTGGCAAAACTTTACTGGCAAGAGCAGTAGCCCATCATACAGAATGTACTTTTATTCGTGTGTCTGGTTCTGAATTAGTACAAAAGTTCATTGGTGAAGGTTCACGAATGGTTCGTGAACTTTTTGTAATGGCAAGGGAACATGCACCATCTATAATATTTATGGATGAAATAGACTCAATTGGAAGTTCTCGTATTGAATCTGGATCCGGGGGAGATAGTGAAGTATGTTTTATATTACATATTTTGTAGTGTGAATGTTTCATAACATTTTATTGTAACATAATTAATTACCAGGTTCAACGAACTATGCTTGAATTACTCAACCAATTGGATGGCTTTGAAGCTACAAAGAATATAAAAGTTATTATGGCAACAAACAGAATTGATATATTAGATCCTGCCTTATTACGACCAGGACGTATAGATCGTAAAATTGAATTTCCACCTCCAAGTGAAGCAGCACGTCTTGATATTTTAAAAATTCACTCGAGAAAAATGAATTTAACTCGAGGTATAAATTTAAGGAAAATTGCAGAACTTATGCCTGGTGCATCAGGAGCAGAAGTGAAGGTATATAATGTAATTTCTATAATTGTGGTATTTTCACAATATTATGATTACATATTTTGTTTCTCTTTTCAGGGTGTATGTACAGAAGCTGGTATGTATGCTCTCAGAGAACGTCGAGTTCATGTTACTCAAGAAGATTTTGAAATGGCTGTAGCAAAGGTGATGCAGAAAGATTCAGAAAAAAATATGTCGATCAAAAAATTGTGGAAGTAATTCGTTATTGGCTATATTTCATTCTTTCTATACCCTTTGCATTTTTTGTAAAATCATTTGTGAACAACCTATAACTTTAATTGAAATGTATACAAAATAAATATCATAGTTATAAGAACAAATTTTACTAAATTATTTAAGTAGGAGTAATAGCATCTCTTCCTTTAATAACTTACAAATTCTACCTAAACTGTAAGCTAGCAATAAAGGAAATGAGCTGAACACTTAAAACATTATAAATAAGTATTCATATTCAAATATTTAAAAATTAATGCTTTATTCTGTCATATATGTACATATTATTCATTAGTAGACAACATTTCTGTAATTTATTAATTATCCTTTATGGAGTGGACATGAAGTAGAATTTTATAGTGCATAAAAATAACACTACATATTAACAAATAATTTGATACATTATATATTATACAGTGCATATATTGATAACGTACTGTTTTGTACTATAATAACTTGTTATGAACATAAATTTTAAAAATATTATTACAAAAAAGAAACTGCAATGACAGAAATTTATTACTTCATATCTTTTGTTTCTAAATCATGCTTTTAACTTATAAACATATGATAGTTTACAATACAAGTACACCTCTAAAAGAGAAAAACAATAAAATTATAAATAAGGAAAAAAAGGTAAACTTTAAAAATTTTTATAATTTATTGTTATTATTACTTATTCTATAATTTATTATTTATTCAAAAAAACAGGATAATAAAAATTGTAAATTATGCAATATATATTTCATTTTCAATTTGCTGCACAGACGCAGAGTAAAGTGCATAGAAGTATAAAACTTGCTTATATTTTCTTTTGTATAATAGTTTTATTACAAAATAAAAATAACTTATATATTAAAATTAATGTAGAAATATTTCATGTTTATTTTCAATCCAAGATACACTTCCAATTGAACTTACAACTTTCTCAAGTGGAATTATAAATCATGTACAAACAATACAGAACTAGTAAATATACACACTCATCTAATTTATATTTTTTCTTCTTGTTTGAAAATTTCACGTTAAAAATGAAAACAATATAAGCATCATATCTGTTAAATCGGTCGTTATATTCTATTATCTCAAGCAATTTTTATCTTAGAAATTACAATCACAGTGGTATTAAATATGTACACATAGTGCATAATCTGATAAAACGAAAATTGCGACCTGCCTTCTACGTCCATGCTCAATGATGAAACTGTTCATGAAGGTTATAAATAACGACAATGCTTTATCACTTTTTAGCAAGTTCATTACTCAACCAGTCAAGTCCTTCGTACAATCCATGTCCTTGAGTGGCACAAGTACTTTGAATATACCAATGACGTCCCCGCAACGAATTAAGTCCTAATTTATCTGTAAGTTCTGCCGCAGACATAGCGTTCGGAAGATCCTGTTTGTTAGCGAAAACTAAGAGAACTGCATCTCGCAGTTCATCTTCCTTCAACATGTTTGCTAATTCACGTTCAGCCTCTGCGATACGTTCACGATCATTACTGTCAACAACGTAAATGAGGCCCTGCGTATTTTGAAAGTAATGTCTCCAGAGTGGTCTGATTTTGTCTTGGCCACCAACGTCCCATACCGTGAAACATATATTCCTGTACTCAACAGTTTCAACGTTGAATCCAATGGTAGGTATTGTTGTGACAATCTCGCCAAGCTTCAATTTGTATAATATTGTAGTTTTGCCGGCAGCATCCAAGCCCACCATTAATATCCTCATTTGCTTTTTACCAAAAAGTCGAGTGAGCAGGGTACTAATTGTTAGGCCCATTTTGTTTGGGAAGACACTTAACGTGATTTGAAATATTCAAACTGATATCTTATTGTTTGGAAAATTTGATTGGAACTATATACGTGTCACGCGGCTCACTTGTACACTTGCCGTCACTAGATGACGCGCAATGCCGGCTTTCTCGTTAGTGGTCGACTGAGCTGTGACTCATATATATTGCTCCTGTCCGTATTTAAGTGGTATCTTTATGATAAGGCATTAACCCCATGGATTTTGTAACTGACGTGTCCTACGTGTTCGTTTTTTGGATTGAGGAAAAACGCGTTTTTCCTTCAATGTCCTTTCATCTTCTTTTTTAATGTTGCAATATTCCAGTTACATTGCATTTATGACGAAACGATGATACACGCATGGAATGTCAAGATTTTTGAATCTTGAAAATGTGACGTTAACAACAATCCCAATTAACACACCTTAGAGACAGTATCAAACGTCAGCTCAAACTGGACTCATTCCGGAAATAGTTGGTGAAATTGGTTACGAACACCACTTTCTTTAGAGTCATTATTTATTCCGCGGAAGAACATACTCATCAGATGACGAATTCTGCGCGTCTGCGCATGGCGATTCTGATTGGTTCACGTGTTCTTCGTAAACTTAGCCATCTAGCTGAAGGTGGGAAGTAATGGAACTAATTTTGAATACAATTTTTACATTTATTAATTTTTCCGACCTGTTAACACATTTAAAACGATCTAGAACTAATTTGTATTGCTTTTCGAAGCAATTTGATACATATAGCAATTTGATCGTCTATTAAATGTGACCTTTAGGTTATTAAAAAATAGAAGCAATCATTTATATTTAAACCAGTGACTGCAGTAGTCAATGTTTAAACATAACAATACATTAATATTTTAGTTAAATATAAAATGGTAAAAATTTATTTTACTATTTTACAATAATATAATTGATATAATGTATCTTACAGTAACCTATGATAAAAATTTTTTATTTATGATCATTGATAATTTCATGCAACAATAATTACACAAACAAATATTTTGGTCCGCTTTATTTTGTGAATGTTGGAAATTATGTACAAAATGTATGTTACAAAACAAAAAATAAACGAATTATTAAGTATCGATAAACAATGAACGAAAAATTAAATGCAGTCAGTCAACTCATGAAAAAATGAATTAGTTATGTGCAGCTCTCTTACCATTCATGTAACCTATCCATCGTTCTGCTGTAGCAGTAAATAGTGGATCATTGTCAATTGAATTTAGAAGAAGAAGCTGATTAATATGAGTGGAATGATAATCCCACCTAGCTAAATTCGGAGCCGTTTTTAATGTAAAATGTCGTAAATCGTATGTAGTACCAGAGCCGGTATCGTACAAAGTTAACATGTTTTTCAATGATGTCATACCCTGATTAAAAAGGCGGGATGCTTCTTCTGCATCCTTACCAGTTGCTATACTTTTTAGATCATATAAACCAATTAAAGAATAAATAAATCCATTGAGAATAAAAGAAGAGGGGGTTGTAGGGTATTCTTCGTACCATACGTATTTACCTAAAAATACTGCAGCTACTCCTCCTCTGCTAGAGGATAATCTAAAAGGTTGTAAACCTCTAATAGCAGCTTGTAAATATTTTTCTTCACCAGAATGATAATACGCTCGTGCTAATACAGAAATAGCATGTCCTTGACCCATGCTAGAATACCTATGCAAATAAACATTTTAACAAATTGAATTAATGTTCCCTTTACAAAATATGAACACTTTGTTTTAACAGAAATCAAAGTACCATCCAGGTTCAAGAGTTGCCATGCCAGGAGCAACTTTTCTTCGGACAGGATTCGGCCATCCACCGGAACTAATGTTTTGATTAGCTACAAACCACTTTGCTGCATCATAAAATTGTTCCATGTGTTCACTTGTGGATAATGTTACGTTATCAATCATTCCAGATCCATACAAGGTTATTTTTATCATCTATAAAAATAGAAACAGATTAGAATAAAGCATGCTAATTAATAAAAAATATATTTCAATACTAATATCATTTATTTTAAATTACCTTTAATTTGGAACGAGATAACTTCTTTTTATTTTTATCATTTAAATATAAACCTTTCTGTAAATCAATAACTAAGTCTCTAGTAAACCGTTTCCACTGATGATTAATTTGTCCAATTCCATAGTACACATGATTGTTATAAGCATGTAATACTATATTACTTGTAACATAATGAAGATAATAAATTTCTTTCTTTTCCCTAGATTGTAAAGTGATTACAATGCTTCCATTGTCTTTAATGTTAAAATCCCATTTTAATACAAAATCTAATACATGGTCTAGCTTCAAAGTAATTCCAGAAGTACTAGTTTCTGGTGTAGCAAATTTTATTACATGGCTATTAGAATGTTTATCAAATATTCTAGATGCAATAGATCCTTGAGGTATAGTCCATTCTCTTTTAACTTTATCAGAATCCTCAATAATTTTTCTATGAGGTTCTGGTTCTGTTAAATTTTTGCTGTAATGCGAAAGTCCGAATTGAGCTATTTGAGTAGGATAATAATATCCTTGACTTTCCCATTGAGTAGATATTGGTACTCCGTCGTTTCCGCTTATGCATTTAACACGCTCCCGAACTTCAACATTATAATTTTCAAAAGTCATAAATACCCCTCTGGGATCATATTTTCCTTTAGGATTAACAATTTTTGAATAACTATGTAACCATTCAAATCTTTCTAAGCCATCGTATGTTGCCAATTTTCCATAAATCTATTATATTGTAAAAACATTAATATCATTTATATACCATTAGAAATATAATTTTTACATTTACCTCAAAATATTTGTGAATAAATGAAAATGGTATGTAGACTTCATCTCCTTCCTTACGACATCCAATTGAATAATCACCATTTATGTGACAATCTATTTCTTGGTATCCAGTTTCTAAATTTACTCGATCCTTCATGAAAAACATAAAATAATCACTAATAAATGTTACCTTGATAGAATTTTTTTAAAGCATGATTAATGTAGTAATCATCTCTAAAAATATCAGATGTATTACATAATAATTATTGGAAAGATAAAATACAATATGTTATTTCATAAAAATATGAATTTATGTTAATTGTATTTTATGCAATTCAAACTACACTGTATACTTACTCTATGTTGAAATTTTGATTTCCAATCAGTATTTTTAAAAAATGATGGGCTGTTACAATTATTCCATGATGTCAATATTGAACTTAATACTGCAACTATTATTATCAATAATACTGTCTTAAAATTCAACCTCATCATCCTGTGAAATCTGCTGATATTAATTGCAAATTATCACGACTGTCTTATTTTATAATTATGTAAAAATATACAAATTCATAATGTAACAGTGCAATACTTACAGAAGTTAAAATTTGTTGCCGCTTTCTATTAAAAATAATTTTGATTAAAATCATAGATTAGATTTTTCATTCTTGGAAACTGTAACATTATAAACAAGTTCAGAAATAATTATTGAAAAGTAATGACTAATAAATATGTGTATCTGTCAAAAACTTTTAAATTACATACATGTTTTCACCCCTTTTATGGAAATACAGTTTATGTTTTCCATTGGGGTTATTTTATATTTAGTCATCGATAATTATCGTAAGCAACAAATGTCTCATACATATCACTTGTTTACATAGTATCGATAAATTATCAAAAGTTGACGTTATGTCTATTTTGAACTCTTGAACATGTAAGGTATTTCCTAAAAATGGTGCATACAAGCTTGTTACAGAATTTGAGTTTGTATACTTCGTTCTATGATAGACTAGTCGATTTTTCTTAAAACGAAGTATAGAATTTTTCCCTAGAATACCCTAGAATTCACTATCAAGATATTCCAACCAGGTCACATTTCTAATGACTTTCTGAACACTTAGTTGCACTTCTTTTCGCATGAGAATACCGCCCTAATTGACGCGTTGCATTCTACAGTGGTATATTAATTCTATTGAAGTCTATAAACTCTATGTTCTACGGTAAAACGCATGCGCTTTTTTCACAATTGTGGCGCCGAAATTATATACATAGCGGACAGAATATTTCATGATTTCTAATTCTTGTTAATCAGAGTATTTTCTGTTAATTATACGACATATTTCTCTTTTGGTATTTATATATTTTTTAAATGTATTTGAAAAATCGAGTACAATGTTCTTTTTGTTTTGTTCACTTACCACATAACTAATGATTAACGTTATTTATTTCATTTTTTCCACATTGTATATGGTCATAAAAGCAAAAACAGGATATACAAAAGTACACACTCATGTTTGAAAATTTTCATAGGTTGTTGACCTGCGCGAAAGAAAATTGCCCTCTTGTGAAATAAAATATAATATTTTTATATAAATACTTGTTTTAATTAAAGTAAGAAATGTAATGTTTTTATTATTTATACTATATCAGTTTAATGATATGTATATTTTACAAATATCTGTATTATGCTAATGATTTTCTTATAATAACGGTATTCAATATGATTTATGTTCATCTTCCTGAGTTGTGCAACTTTATTTCCAATAGCATATTGTTGTGTATTATATTATTATAGTAATTATATTTATATGATTAAATGTCTTTCGCTTTTAAAATACAAGTTATTAAACAATTTATGTTAAATTTTAATTGCTGCATTTTTTAATTTCAATAACTGCAATTGAACAATCTTTATATCCTATTTCCATGGAGGTCAGCCGTATAGCTCCATCTGTGAGTCGTGATACATAATGGAATGTTCAATACTACTTGTGTACTAAGGAGATTTATAAGAGATGGAGCTGAGAGGAATATTGAAATATTATTAAATAGGTACGTTCAGTGCGTTCACAGGATATTTTGAATTTGTATAGATTTCAAATAACCATTAATATGCCCGATTCTAATCATGGAATGGAATCATGTATCGTTATTAAACTTCCTTTTTTCAGCGTTCCACAAAGTATGCGTTGATACCTTTGTCAAAAATTCCTCTTACTCTCTTATAATACTCTTTCTTTTGTAATATTTCAATTTAATCAAATTTCAGAGCAATTATAGCAATACATGTATAATATATATTGAAGAAAATTTACGCTGCTGTATTTCATTATTTGCTACTGTAAGTTTTAGAATCATATACCGTATGAATGGTACCTACTTATACTTTACTACTGCATATAATGTTAGATATGATGTTTGGTTTTTAGAAGCCAGTCAGGTTAAGTTACTGCTAATTAATAAATTAAAGTATTATTTCCTTTATGATATGGATTTTGTGGTGCTCAGGTCACAGGAGCAAAAAGATTGTACTTAGGAATGTTAAGTAATATTTTGTATATTTTAGAGTAATATTCTAGTTCAAATAATTCAATTTTTCAATATTGTTTAATTTTATAATTAATTAATTTAACACTTATGAATTCAACTAATATTAATTATTAGATTATTGAAAGTAAGAATATTATTTCTTCCTTAATCACATTAAAGGTCAAAGGTTTCATGTGTCTTTCTTATTCTTTCGTTGCAGGATTCGGTTGAGTTGGATTATGAAAGTAAATAAATTTAACAAGTAGTTTAATTCTAATTAGGTGAGCAAGTACCTTTTAATATAATTTTGAAGAGTAATGAAAACTTTTATCTTATCTTCTTGGTAAATAATGCTTTTAATCTAATTTTTTTAATCAGTTACAAATATTATATGGTTTATGTTTTACAAGTGCAGTTCATTATTAATTTTGTTAATTTTATTAATTATAATACTTTATTTATTTATATTTGCATTCTTATATTTTTATAGTTGGCAGCTTATTAATGAATTCATATATAAATATAATATTATAAACATGTTTTAAATTATCAGTAAAAATTCAAATAATTATGATATGTATAGATATACAATGGAAACAGGAAATCTTGAGAAGCAATCTCCTTCACGAGGGTTAAAACAGGTGAAGGTAGATAACTGGGGAACTTTCTTCCTACAACGACTTCAACAACTTTATTTTGATGAACAATTACTTGACCTTACTATCAAATTCCCCACTAGTGATATAACTGTTCAGGTAACTTTTTAAAAATCATTTTAATAAATATAATCTATAGTTCTTATTATCCGAAATATTAAAATTATTTTTGAAAGTATTAGTCTTAAAGTACAACATGAATTTATATTTATTAATATTTTTCTTATTAGATCCTATGATAAAGTAATTTGTTAATATTTTAGGCTCATCGCTTAGTCGTAACAACATGCACAAATTATTTTATGCAGCTTGAGCATGAGCAAAAAGCAAGAGATGAAAATTTTGATGGTGTTATTATTATGCCAACAGATATGCCATACGAGTGTGTCAAGTCAATTATAAGGTATATTTAAACACTATGATATTTTCATTAATTGATTCCTTAATTAACTACTTATAGAAATAATATTTTTGCATAGCACTTCATACAAACTATGTACTCATAATATTTTTAAAGTTTTATGTACACTGGACAGTTGGAATATTGGACTTCTGAACAACATGCTTTGTATCGGACTGCACAGAAAATGAATATGACTGTCCTAACTAAATTACTCGATGCACAATTTAATACTGCTGCGTTACAAAATGAGCAATCGGTAAAGTGTAATACTCCACCAGCAACAACAACATCAAAGCCTTCAACATCCACTCCAAAGCCAGCAGCTACTTCCACACCATCTTCAGGACTTTCAAATCAACCATTACCTGGTAGAAAGTAAGTGTATAGATTACTACATATATAAAAATTGTTTTTGCAGAAAAATATTCTTTATATAGTATATGTTCTATTGAAAACAAAGTCAAATGTAATTTAGTATTACATATAGAACATCAATTTATGTTTTTATTGTTTCAGACTTCCTATTTGGAAAAGAAAATTAGATACGCCACAAAATATGTCATCGTTTAAGTATGAAATGCGAACATTCCATGGGATTCCCCCATCAAAGTCCACAGAAGTAACTCCTGGTCCTTCAAGATTCGATCTCCCTGAAGCCGAAGAATTTGCGCTCGGCGTGTTTTCATCATTCGACGATATTACATACAATACAAAACCTATCGTGCAAGCCCCGGATGTATATAAGAGAGACAATTCGCCTAGTGGTAAATGTTCCCCAGACGGAGATAGTAAGAATGATACGACTGAAGACGAGGAGGACGAAAACCATATGAACGAGAAGAGTTTAAAAGAGGTGAATTCGGATGACGATTGGTCTATAGGTAGATGTTTCCAAAGAGGGCAAGAAACGCAGCCCTCGCCATCCAAAAAAGTACGATTTGATCGTGAAGAAAAAGAAAATATGGAAAAGGGTAAATCATCTTACAGACCGAATTCGGAAGATTCGATCAACAACCACGCAAAAATTATCCGAGAAGTGTTGAAGAAGTACCCTCATTTGGTGAAGAATAACAAGAATATTCGTCTGAAGATAATGCAAAAAGAAGCGAAATCAGCGGACAGTAATTCTGCATGTAAAACAAAAGTTTCTTACGTAGTTTTAAAATCTGATCATTTGATGTCGAGCAATAACAGCGATGAAACTGAAACAAAAAGTAACGGGAACGTTGATGGCGGTGAGACCGGTCCTTGGAAATGCAATAAGTGTGATTTGGAAGAAGAGTACACGAATTATTATATGTATAGAAGACACATGCAAGATGTGCACGAGGAAAAATTCGATCCGAGAATCTGTGAGCATTGTGGCTATAAGGCGACCAAACGGAATATCTTGATGTATCATTTGTATACAAAACACAATGTGCCTCCTCCAAAAAGCATGTGTTTCCCGAAGTGCCAGTCGTGTTCTTACGTCGCACTTTCGGAGACGCTATTAGTAAGACATCAGATCAATCACAATCATCGACCCACGTCGCGTCAACATTCATCAACCTCAGAGGAAATCCAATGTATGCAATGTGCCCAGACATTCAAAGATGTCACAGAATTGACTACTCATGAAATTAACACTGGCCACGGGAGTTTATCAGACAGTAAAGAAAAGGGTCACCGTTGCACCCATTGTGGTAAGATTTTTGTACGGGCTACAAATTTGCAGGTTCACCTCGATTGCGTTCACAAAGATCTACGAGATTCCGAATCTAATGTATCAATGCCATCACTTTCTTTAGAACCTTCCTCAGAAGCTGAAGCTCTTAGTCACGTGGCAAGTGGAATAGCAGCTTCTTTAGGTGTCGGAGACACCGTTCCTGCAGAGTCTCACGAGGTGACTTCAAACGTGTCCGAATACGTCGTTCCAGACATGCAATTAAATAATATTACACATGAGATGACTTACAATACCCATGAGCTCGATGGACAGCATATGATTATGCTCATCGATAATGAAAACTATCAGCAACAGGAAAATGAGCCGCAACAACAACCGCAACAGTTGAACATTTCTGATAACGAGCAGATCGTGATGCAAGGCACTGAAGATGGAATGATTGTTTATATTCATGGAAGCGAAGGAACAGAGAGACAAACGTATGAGAATTATCAGCAAGAAGAACTTGGTGAGGAAACTGAAGAGATAGTGGAGGAGGTGGTCGAAGAGGTTGAGGAAAAAGTGATGGAAGAAGAGGACATGCAGGTTGAACAATCAGAGATATTGGAGGAATGTAATGCTGATCAAGTAGAAGAAGTTATTCAGTATGTGGAAGAACAGACTGAAATAGTAGAATATGATGAACAATGCAGCGAACAAAGTAATAGTGCAGATGAGTCCCATGAATCAGTCATGATCATCGAAGAGGAACATGTTGAAGGAGAACAGGACATTGACAAAAATAATGAGCAAAATACAAGAGGCTTTACTAAGTGGGACGAGGACAGTAGAGAATTATCTGAATCATAAACAACAATATTATTCTTACATTTGCTTTGTCACTTCTTATGTTTTATTAGAGTTTACGACTAACAAAGCGCGGAATATTTCGATTGCATTTCATTCTATTTCTTCATTATTCTATTTGTTTGACTTCTGTACATTAAATGAAAAGAATCGATTTATACAAGTATAAAAGAAACCATGTTAATCGATTATGATAATTCTAAAGATATATATCATTATCATCGATAGAAATTAATGTTTCATTTAATTCGTGCAAATTGATTTTAATTCAATTTCTATTATAGAATACAAGTATTTGTATATAGAACTTGGAAATATATACATAATAAATTGTATTCGATTAGTAGAGATTATGATTGATCGAATTCATGGAGAGAGCTATTTACAAACTTTCCTTATCTTCTGTATAACTGCAAGTTACAATTTCTTTAGATATATAGTTTTATAAAATAATAAGATGTGAAATGCAAACGATGAAAAGACAAGAGTGTCGATTTTATGATTAACTGATAGCTACACATGTTCAATGCAAATATTAAAAAATAAAGAAATTGAAAATAGTGTATCCCTTTTGGGAATTCATTCATAGATATTGTAATACGAAGTTTCATGATTATCCATGATAATCGGTTATACTTTCAAATGGATATTTTTGAAACGAACGAATAAAAAAGCGTCTGACCATGTACTGCAATATAGAATTATGTTATATAAATTATATATATAGTAACGGTAATATCAGTTAATTAATAATTGAAAAATTTCTTCAAATTTCTTTGAGATTCAGATCTATTACTTATTCTATTAATTTGAATGTTTTGAACATTATATATGGTGATTTGAATAACGTGGATAAAAGATAATTTATCAATTTATTAATATAGAAAGTGTAGTATGTATTCATAATATGAATATTTTGCATAAAAAATATGACTCAGAAGAAAATACCAAACATACTATCATGTTATATATTTGGGTTATATGTCACACATTACCAATTTCTGTTTTAATTTATTATGTTGTAAAACAAAGTTCTGTGCAGAATTTTATTCAGTTTCAAGAAGTATTTAATTTTATGAATCAACTACTTCAGCCTACAGTATCTATTACAAATAACAATGGTGACTATATTTTAGACTAAAATTACAGTTTAATAAAATTAAACATTTTTGAAAAAAAAAAATAGAATTCAGTGCAGATTTTTCTTTACAACCTGGTATAAATGAAAAATATTCAAACTTCAAAATGCAAAGAAATATATTTTTAACAACAGAGTTGAATAAAACCTTTGTAATTTAAAGTGTGAAGCACTCTTATATATTTTATGTTTAAGTAAACCACATAAATGAAAGATATACTTTTAAGAGATGATATATCAAAATTTGTTTAACTTTGGTTCTTACTACCATAATGCTCTTCTTTTGAAAAAAGCAGCATTTATTGAACTGTTTTGAAGTAATTATATTTTTATAATTATATCCAATGTACTTTACAGTAAAGTTGTTTAGAATTATTTATTATAAGATACGTAGAAAAGAAAATTTGACATTCAGTAAATGATACGTGTGCACATGAACTATAGCATAATAAGTAATGCAATATGCAAGAAATAATTGTATTTTTAACGCGCACGTCCAACTTTGGCCTCAATGAAATGCATAAACCGAATTGGACTATGTTATTCATAAACATATATTCGATGCAAATTGATTTTCTGTACTTATGGGTGTAATAAATACAAAAAATTGAAGAAGAAGAAAGAACTCAAGTTCAAATAGATTTGAATGGATTAACAAAGTAATTAAATGTAAAGAAAAGAATCATCTTATACTTAGAAATTTCTCATTTTCTATGCACTATAAACTTTTTTATTTCCAAAATGGTGTTTATGTATGTGCGATTTCTTAAAAGTATAGTTTCATGTATAATTCGCTAAAGATATCAAGTAAAAGTCTCTTCGCTGAAGAGATCAAGTAATTGTAATATCGTGGAATTTTATTTTAGTAATTGTAGTTCAGTTTTGTTATAATTATTTGTAATTTAGTATATTTTTGAATTGTGGAAATTGACATAAAAATAGTTGAAGTGTACTGAATATTTGAAGCGCAGGAATGTTTCTTATTATAAAATACTGTCAATAGAATTTTCAAAGCAGATTATAGATTCAATAGAAATTCCATGTACAAATTGTAAGATTCACTAGACATTTCTTCTACATTTAGATTTTTAATGTTTGTGTTATTTATTATAAGTATGTAAAGAAAGATTAGAGAAATAAGAGAAAATGCGTCTCTTATGAAACTAAATAATTAGAATATTTTATGAAATATTTTTCTTGTATAATATTTTTACTAATTAATATTTGAAGACAACGGACAAGACATCATTGCATACTAATAACACAATTTCAAGATTTCTTTAGTGCTTTTTTGCAATTACTTTTTATATGGTGCTTTTTTAGAGATATTTTATTAATTAAAGAAACGAGAAATTTCTGTAAAAGTAAGATGATTCTTAAAGCGACAATTTGCTTATCAGTTTTTTAGTTTACCGACGGTTAACATAGTTTTTATAACTGTACAATAAAACAGTTAATCAATAAAATATATACATTTTACCTTTAAGGCGTGTACAATTTTATTCACTTGCAAATTGAAAGAAGAACGCAATTAAAATTATTTGTTTCACTGATACGTGTCTTATGAATGGAATGAAATACTATTTTATGTACTTTTCAATATTTGAAACAGACAATATTAAGAAAAAATTCGAAGTTAATAGAAAGCTATACATATATACAATAATCTTTTTTCACGTGTAAATGTTTTTAATCAAAATTATCACGATATTAGAAAGTAATAAATAAATAATAGATATTTAAACAATTTATAAACTGAAAGATTGATAAACTATGGTCGACACGACGTTGCGCTCAGAATACAATCTAAAGCTCAAAATTAATTGTTAATTATTAAATGAAACAATTACTGTAGACAATTATATTGGTGGTACTTTTATATTCATTGCTCAAAATAATTAAAGGACCACGTGTCGTGCATTTAAATATAATATAACGTTTTTAAAAAATATTCATAATTGATTTTAAAATGTTAAGTTATCCATTAAAAATAGGAAACAGCTTATTCTAATTATTTTGGGCAGTGTAATTTCTAAAATTATAAAAAAGAGGTGAAATAAATGCGAAACACATGTTAAACATTATTAGAAATAAGTAACGAAATATAAAACGATTAAAAACTTTTAATCGATGTTTTATTATGTATTGTAATCAATTAACAATTGATTCGTGAATACAAAACTGCCTCTGATGCCAAGAACCTTGTAAAACAATATTTTAAACAGAAAATACAAACTATTTCAAGCAAATGATATACTATTTTTTCTGAATTAAACTTCAGATAAAATAAACAGTGTTTGTGGTAAAATAATAACAAATTTACAAACTTAGTATTTGAACAATTTTTAATTTACATACTCGATTTTCAAAATTAAAAGCAACGTATTTATTTCGCATTTTAATTTTAAACTTTCATATACTATTTTCCTACGATTGGTGGCACTGTTATTCGATATATCGCAACGTGTAGCAAATTCAAACTTTTTTCAGTTGGACGCAACTGTTGAAGCAGTTAAGAATAACGGAATATTTTTAATGTATCGTAAGGTTTGTATATGTTAACTAAAATGTCACCTTATCAGCAACAATATAAAGAGAAAAAAGTTGGTTTTGGAAGTACAAAGGATAGGCGATTTATTCGGCTTGAAGAACGCGAGGAATCGCGTAAAAACCAAAGGGCTGTGGCTTTCAATGAGAATCGAAATATTCGAATGTCTCTAAGTAATAAATCAGAGAACAAAAGTTCGTACAATATTTTTTCTGATATTTAAAAAATTTATTGCTTGTATTACCATTGTAAATGATCTGAGTGTTATTTACTTTCAGAAATAGAATCAACTCCCGTGGATAATGATTGTCTTACTAGGTTAATGAAATGGAAAGCTGAACGCCAGAAACGTAGAAGGCTCGAGCAAACCAAAAAAAAACCACCTTTTGTAGTTGGGGTGGTTCGTCATAAAGTATATTCTCCCATAAAAAGTCAACCAGTTACAATAAATACGACTTATGAAAAAACAAATAATCAAATGATACCAATATCTCCATCTAGATCTTTACCAAAAAGAATTACAGATGCAACAAGAAAAAGATTAATGAGTAAAGTTCTTGCAAGACGATTAGTAGAACATTCAACAAACATTTCAAAGTCTATAAATACTGAGCAAAAGAATCAAAAACAGCAAGAACAATCTTTTGCACCTAAAGATCATAAGTTTAAAGCGCCCATAGGGTTGCCTCACATATCAATACGTGGTAAAGTAGCAATTCCGAGTTCATCATCTATCAAAACTAAAGAAAGTAATACTGCAGAATTTATTAAGAAAAGAATTAGTAATACATTAGCAACTGAAAGACAAGGAAATGCAGATAATTCAAGAGAAAGTTTGAGAGATCCTGGTTCATTAAAATTGTCACTTGATGAAACATTTACTTGTACTAATGAAAATAACAATGATGGTAATGATAAGGTACAAATACAAGACAGTAGTGTAACTGAATCAGTTTCTTCCACAAAGAATATGCCTACATCAACACCAAATAATTCTCCAAATGAACCAGTCTTCTTTTCACCATACATAGTTTCTAGTCGTGGGAAAAGTAATGCTAGAAAAGAGCAACAGATAAAACGTGGATTCAGTCTTAATCGTTCGCAAAGCAATGACATTCCTACAAAGGAGACTGTTATGAAAAATTTAAATATTTCAGTCGAAGAAGAAGAACGCACTGCCCAATATTTTCAATTTCTCTTAAATAAGGAAATAGATAGACTAAATAAATTACGCAACAAATGGACAGATATCAAAGAAGACATTACAACCACTCCTGCTGCACAGCATGAAATTAATCAAGTAATTGGTCAAATTAATTTGTTAATAAATAAAAAGTTTGAAAGATTTCGCAGATTAGTTACTGACTGTGAAACAGGAAAGGGAGAAATGTTGGTTACATGTAAAGATTTACAAGGATTTTGGGATATGATGTACGTGGAAGTAAAAGACTGTGATGTGAAGTTTGAACAACTAGAGAAACTTCGATTACAAGACTGGAAAAAAAAAGAATCTCCTGAGCCTAAGAAGATGTCTGCCAATAACAAAAAAGTTATTGAAAAGAAAAAGACTGCATTTACAAAACCAAGTACAAGTAGAGACCATTTAGCAGTAAAAAATACGAATGTTACACAACAAATAAATAGTAGCAATTTAAAAAAGCCTAGAATTATAAATAGTCAATATGTAAATAATACATATGAAATGAAGAAGAATGATTCTAGTGTAAAAAGTAAAGAAAGATTAAGTCTATTGCAAAAGAGACCAGTGTCTGCAACATTCAAAAATACGATAAATTCAACTATGACAAAAGATAGTCCAACTAAAATATCGAGTGTTCAGTTGAATAATACAATCTCATACATCAATTCTGATCAGACACCAAGAAAAAGCATCTTGAAACAAGCAACAAATTCACTTAAAGCAAATTATTTTGTAAAACCAACAAGTAAAGTTAATTTTGATGATCGAGTAGTTTTAAATGAGGTACCAGTTGACGAAGATCAGCTGAAAGCAGAGTTAGGTGCAGCATTAGAAAGAATAGATAGTTTTGATTTTGATGATCCAAATGAAGAAGAAGAAGAAATTCAGGCACGAATGACACTTACTTTTGATGATGATAGTTTTGAAGAACCTGAAGATATTAAACAAAATTCTGAATCAACAGATTGCAAAACGAATATGGATGCAAAATCAATCAAAAAACAATTAGATGCGAATAATGATACACCATTGTCAGAAAAAAAATTAAGAAGACAAAATGCAGTGGATGAACCCGACAAAGAGTTGGATAAACAATTAATACTTAGTGTTTCGTTAACGCGACTTGAAGAAATGATGGAGGATGCAGACGTAAATAAATACAAAGAGAAATTATACAAACATAATTTACTAGATAATAAAAAGGAAATAAGTCCATATAACGGAAGCTTACGAATTTTGAGGAATAGAATTATTTCTTCAGAAGAGACACCTAAAAGAAAACGTTCTATGAAATCAATTAATATGGAAGAATCGGAATATAAAGAAAATAAAACTCCTTTGGTGGGGTTAAGAAGAAGTTTTGTTGAAAATGAGGAAAAGAAGGATTTACGAATTTCTTTGACTAGAATGTCTTTGGCAGAAAATAGTTATAGACGAAAGTCTCGTCGAAGCGTAAAATTTTCAGGTATAAACAAGTTCTAGTAATTTACAAATATTTTATTTATAAGTATGTTGTTTTAATATACGTATGTTGCAGAACAAGGATGTACTGGCTGTGTTTTAAGTAAACCAACACTTCCGATGACTCCTCATATTAGGCGGAGTAGAACGAAGTCTAACGAAAAGACAAAAAGTATAAAATCAGTACATCTTAAACCATGGACAAACCCAAAGAAGCGTAATTATTTTGATTTATTTGCTTTTTGATTTTTATTTTTAGTTTACCTTTAGTTTAAGGTTATATATTTATTTAATATAATGTTTATATATTTACATGATTTCAGCCCCAGATCGAGTAAGAAGATCTCGAAGTAAGAACGCAAAATCTCTGAGTTAATTTTCAGTTATAGAATATGTACGTGCTACATTTTATAAATGCTAAAAGATTCGTATATAAACCTTTGTTTTCTGATACATTACAGAAGTTGAAATATTTTTGTAGTTATTAAAAGTTTAGCTTTTCTTTTCCACGCGATTTTTCGCGTTCTTCAGTCTGAATAAATCGACTTTCTTTTGTATTTTCGAAAGCAAATTTTTATCCTTATACTTTTAAGCACTCTAGTATAATTTCTGAAATCATAAAATGATTTTTTACGTATAAGATACATAAATTCATAATTGGATTTATCATTGTATAAAAGATTGTTTTTGTGTTATTTATAATTTTGATATTATATCATGATGATATAAATCAAAGTTTGTTTGAGGATAATGTTTTATATAATTATTTTTTGTTGGAGTATTTTTGGTGTGACCTTGGTTCGATTTTTTTATTTTAGGAAGCAATTTGGAATTTGAAGTAGATGTCGCTTAAAACGAAGTGATCTTCCGCATGCTCATCGGTTAAAATTATGGTGCTAATTGAAATCTTAAATTCCAGAAGATTTATATTTTACTTGTTAGCATGGAATTGAATTAAGTGCATTGAATTTTTTGGAATGAAACTGGAATTTAAGAAGAAGCGCGCTGCCAAAGATTCATAAATTCAAAAATATCATATTTCGTTAAATTATGGAAGACTACTAAAATCATCAAATATTGTTCCTTCAGTTACCAATATAACATTTCATATATATTATAGTATCATTAGTTTAGTTGCTTTTTGATTGTGGAATGCTATTGCAAGCAAAGCTCTAGAAGTTGGAAAAATTTTCTACTTTTTTAGTTTCTTCGTTCACCACTAGATGGTGCGAATCATGCTTTTTGAACTGCATAGTGTTATAGAATTAAAAAATAAGTACAAAAATAAAGCTTAAACAATTATTTTACTTTAATACGTTTTGTCTTGTTCCTATGTAAATGGTTACATTTTATTAAAAAAATGTACAAATGTTTGCTTTTTAAAAATGTAAAAGAAAGTAATTTTTGAATTTGAATAAAAAAGAAATGCATTGTTATACCTTCAATTCATTTTTGTTCAAACTTAAACTTTGTTGAACCAGAAATTAACAATTACAGAAGTGCAATGTTAACACTTTTCAATAGATAGTTTTTAGTTAATTTAACAGATTTTAGAAGAAAATCTAATTGTACCAAACTGCAATATTAATTGTATTTTTGAATGTGATTGGAAAGTTATAATAAATAAGCATAAATGATCAATAGTATATATGAATAGTTATTTTTTTATGTAACTTTCTCATCACATAAAAAAATATGATTATAAATTCCTAATTTCTTAAAGTATGCAAAATTATTTGCTAACAGAATTTGTAACTATTTCAAAAGAAAATAATAATAAAAACTAGCAATCAAAGTATGAACATTATTGCATTCTTGTGCGTTTGCAAGTTTTTTTGTAACTTTCTCGATGTTTTTAGAGCATGTAATTATCAGATTCAGATTCGTCATAATACATAGAATTATACCGCACAAGGCCTTTTCCGTTCGGACTCTACAAAAACACAGTGGGAAACGACAGAAAGTTATGAACATGACACTCTTAAATTTATGTATGTTTTTCATTTCTAAATATTTTTAAGTTACATGTATTTGTAGTTGTTAGACAGGTATTAGATTCTCAGAACTGTAAAGGAATTATGTATTTTTGCTGAAATGTTATGTTAATTAGTGTATGTTTTCTTTTATTTGATTTTATGAATGTTTAAGTTTAATAATAAAGATAGATGTGGATTATAATATATAACATAATTTTATATTATTTATAATACATTGCATTATTCTAATATTATTTTACAGTTACATTATTTATAATATATTGCATTATTATAATATTATTTTACATTTACATTATTTATAATACATTGTATTATAATATTATTTTACAGTTACATTATTTATAATACATTGCATTGTTATAATATTATTTTGCATTTACATTATTTATAATACATTGCATTATTATAATATTATTTTACATTTACATTATTATAATACAATTTTATACATACAGAACTTAGAAAAATTTGTAATTCAGACTTTTAGATGTTGGCACTTTGGAATTACAGAAGTTCAGAATTTTTGAACTGTTTAGGATTTTAGAGTTTTGAAATTATCAATTTTTGAGATCTGAAAATAAAGAAATTTTAGAATTTAGATTTTTACAATTTTGGAACTTTGAATACTGATATTTAGATATTATGAAACTTTTTAAATTTTTGGATTATGAAGCTTATGGATTATCTCAGGTGTTTAAAATTTGTTAATTGGCATATATTTGACTTTGAAACTTTGAACTTTTGGGATTCGGAATCCACTATTTTCAAAAGTGGATTTTAGCTTATAAAAGTTTATAGAGTTTTTGTTATAGTTCTATAAAATACATAAACTTCTATAAATAAATTATGGCTTCAACGTGTTGCAGCTCACAATTCAAGAACCACTGGTTCAATTAAATTCATTTAGAAAAATATATCAAACAATTCTATTTAAAAAATATAAACTTGAATATTACATGAAATATCTGTTTATTTTCCCAACGAATTTAGTACAAAATTAAAAAGCCAAAAATATCGTGATCGATAAATAATTTGAATTTTTAACGATTAAAATAAAGTAAAAATAAATTATAGTGAATGAATGATATAAAATACAATAAAATAATTACATAAACAATTTAAATTTATTATTTAAATATTATTAATATTTAAGGGTCATAGTTGTAACTATTTAACAGTTACATGTGCTTCAAAATATATCGTTTGTTTCTAAATTAATATGTAAATGCATAATTAAAACATTTCTATTACAAACAAATTTCTTAGACGATTTAACAATACAAATACTAATTAATTTCAGTCTATTATTTAAAAAATTAGTACAATTTAATAGAAATAATTAATACATCTTTGCAATTACCAAAGTAGTTTACTAATAATTTTACTTACTTTAAAATGTAATAAAATAGTTTACTACAAAATAAAATACTAATGTAATAAAATACTTTACTACATTTTAAAAATTGTACAAATGTTTAACAATCATTATTGTACTACAATCGGTAGAAATCGGTAAAAATCACTTTACACATATAAGTAATTTAAAGATTCCCTCTAAATCAAGATTATAAATATCCTACAGTACAAGTCATATCACTTTAACTAATACACCCTGTAAATATCGTAAAAATTTCTTGCAACAAGTTATTTACTATGATGCACCAAATAAAGATCTCCTTTAGAAAAACATACTCCATATTACTAGTTAAACATTCCCTCTAAATTAAGATTATAAATATCCTACAGTACAAGTCATATCACTTTAACTAATACACCCTGTAAACATCCTAGAAATTTCTTTCAACTATTTATTATGATGCACCAAATGATCTCCTTTATAAAAACATACTCCATAGTTAAACATCCCCGTCAAATCAATTTTCTAAATCCCCTACAGAATAAGTTACATCACTTTAATGCACCCTATCTTTCGATCTTTCAATTTCACTGTAAACACTTTAAAATACCCTCCACATCTTGAGACAGTGGTTGAACAAGACATCTTAGTCAGCGGTCGAACAAATCGCTTAAAACGTCCCGTAGGGTTTGCAATAAACGTACAAACAAATCGGTAAAAATGGTCTGTAAAAAATGTGCAAACTGTAGTAAAATAGTGGCACCGAAACTCGCGAGGCGGGACTTTGAAATGATTCGGGCCTCGCCGCATGTACAGGAAACGTAACCAGTAGCCGGTGGCGGAGGTGGTGGATGATGGCGGTGGTAGAGGGACACAATCGTGACCGTGGTAGCAGCTACAGGGTGAAGGAGCGAGCGAGTCGAAAAGTGGAGAAAGGGAATAAACGAGCGAGATAAATCGAGGCGAAATATAAACAGCGAAACGAGGAAGGGGTGATCGCGATCGGTTGAAGGCAGAGGAGGACAAGCGAGCATCGAGGAGGACAGAAAGTTAGGCGAAGGTGGGTGGATGACGGTGGTGGTGGCGGTAAAAGAGAAAAAGGGGGGCTGTGGAGGTGAGAAGGTAGGAGAACCAGCCTCCGCCAGTATCCACGTGTTCAGTGTAGTAGCGCGTTATGACCCGGATGTTAGATCGTAGCTGCAGTTTTGCGAGAACCTGCCGACCCGGATGTCTCGTTCGTCGTCTACCACTGATCCGCTACTAATGTCCTCCTGGTCACCGAAATATGTTCAATCGGTAAGTAATGCTCTCTCACGACACTTTCATACACCTATTTTATAACCGTTGACTTAACAACGTTCACCGACGATTTCAACCCCTTTCGCAAGCGCCGTTCTTCTTCTTACATTACTTTCTTTGCGATATCATTTTTTATTTAAATCTGTCGCAGGATTTGTGGAGTGTACTTTTGGTAGTTTTTATATTTTTTCTTTGTTAAAATTCTTTGGAAAATGTTTCATTTTCTTTGATACTTGATAGTAGGATTTTATACTTATATTAATCTACGGCTACTAAGATTAGGCTTTGGCTCCAGTAGGCTGGAGTCTACTTTTGGTATTATCTGTATCTTGAGTATGGAACTTTGTGGACATTCTTTAGAAATTATTTAGTTTGAGTGTTATTGAGTTTTCTGTAATTATAATAGAATAAAATTGTTGTTAATAGAATTTTATATTTGAATGTATAGTAGAATGTTTAGTAGGATTAGGTTTTGTGAATTATGTGTACGAAAATTGTTAGTAGGTTTAATATTTAGTATTATTGAAAGTCAATGAATTAGAAATAGGAAACAATCAATTCTACTTATTATGAAATTTATTATTATTTTGAACAGGGATGTTTAAACATAGAGTTGTATTAAACATTTAGTAAAATTAGCACGTGTTTAGGAAATTAAATGGTGGGGTATCACAGAAATTCATTATTGAATTTATCATGAGTTTTTTTTCAACTTTCAAGGCTTTAATATTTGTTGTTCTAAATTTTTGAAATCTTGAAATCTAAGAGTGTCAAAGTTTTAAACTCCCAAACTTTACGTATTCTAAACGTTAAAAGCTCTGAAATGTGAATGTTTGAGCACTTTGGAATTTTGAAGTTTCAAAGATACAAATTTTGAACTCTGAAACTTCTGAAATCTAAAATCTTAAAGTTCCAAAGTCTCTAATTTTTTAAATCTCGACGTCTTAAAATTTTGAAATTTGAAAGTTTCAAGGAACCAAAGTCTCCAACTTCTAAAATATCAAAATTACTAAATTTCAAAGTTTTAGAGTTCCAGAGTTGCAAATTTCCCTAGTCTTACATTTTTTGGAATTTTACAGCTTCACTCTTTCAAAATTTCGAAATTCTCAAATTTGTAAAAGTTCTAAAATTTTGAAGTTTCAAAGTCACGAATTGTTGAAATTTTCAAGTTCTAAAACTTGTTCTAACACCAAGATATGCAAAATTTAATGTCGCACGTAATATAATTAGTTGAAAGAAAATTCGAAGAAATATAATATTAAAAACCATGTAAATAACAATTTAAAATTGAAAAATGAAATGATTGTATCCGTACAACTATAATTATAATTACATGTCTTACAACGCATGTCTATTTTCACTGCTCTATTCAACATGTTAATGACATTTTGAATGATAACAATTATCTGAGATATTGATCTTTCAATTATTACTAATATTCTTTTGTATATGCGTTGGTGTACAATTTTAAATTAGTTTAGTGTTCCTTTACTGAAAAGTAAACGTTTTTATGATTTTTAAAAAATGTTTTCTACGTTATTAAATTGTTAGTTTTATTTATCGAAGAGTATTTTTACTGATGTGATAAAATTGAATAATTTGAATGATTGATCTTTTGCGGTATTATCTTCAGCGCAAGTTAACACGTTTTTCCGCCATTTTTCACCAAGTTATTGTTCAAATAGCAGTTTCGAAAAATATGTAGCGACAATATTTATTATAATTTCACTCTTTATTTATGAATAATAGTTTAGGAATCTCTGACTAGTAATTTGAAATAATTATTTATTAATCTTTGGCTAGTTTTTTTAAATGATCATTTATGAATCTCAGACTAGTTATTTTAAATGATTATTTATTAGCCTTTGACTAGTTGTTTCAAACAATTGTCCACAGAAAATCTCTCTAATTTAAATGATCATTCACAAATATCTCACTAGTTGTTTTAAACGATCATACATGAACTCTAGTTATAAATGATTGCTATAAATATCTTACGAGTCAGTAATAAATGTTTAGCCATAAATCACGAAAAGTATGATATAGATAGAATTATTTTGAAAAGTATAGCATATCGATAACATCGGTGTATGCTTGAAGGATAGATGCGAGCAAATCAACGAAAGGTGCCAGCAAACTTCGAAGGGACCTGATAAATGCCGAAATCGCCAACTTACGTGATTTACTGCCATTACCACCGTCGACTCGTCAGAGACTTTCCCAGCTACAGCTTATGGCTTTGGTTTGCGTATTCCTTCGAAAAGCCAATTATTTTCAACAAGGTAAGCATCAATTTACGTACCTACTTTTTGATCGGGGCCGATGAATTTGAGGGTTCGGAGGAACTTAAGATTCTGAGAAATCTTGTAGGTTAAATTGAAAATTTAAGAATTGGAAAGAATTTTGTGAGTTACATTAAAATAACGAAAATTATGAAGAATGTCGTGAGTTACATTAAAAATATAAGCATTATGAAGAATTTTGTGAGTTATATTAAAAAAATAAGCATTATGAAGAATTTTGTGAATTACATTAAAAAAAATAAGCATTATGAAGAATTTTGTGAGTTATATTAAAAAAAAATAAGCATTATGAAGAATTTTGTGAGTTACATTAAAAAGACGAGAATTGTGGAGAATTTTGTGAATTACATTAAAAAAACAATTGTGAGGAACTCAAGTGTTAAATTAAAAAATTAAGAATTATGAAGAGTTTAAAAATTACAGAGAATTTGAGAATTAGGAAAGTTAAAAATTAAGAAGAATTTAGAAATTAAAATAAGAATTGAAAAATTATGAAGAAATTGAGAATTAAGAAGTTTTTAAAAATTAAATTAAAATTCTAAAAATTAAAGAAGAATTTAACGTAACAGTGTAGTCATAAAAACACGAAGAAACCTTTCATTTAGTAATTTTAAATAACTTTTATGAAAGATTCATTTGTATGAAGCAAAGTTTTATATGTCAATTATAAGAGAATTAGTTATAATTTATAATGTAAAATGGTTTATATTAAAGTAAGTGATAAATCTACATAAAACACGTTACAGAAATATGATGTTAATAAATGTTATATAAAAATGATGTATTGAAAACGTCATTAAATAGTTTGTTATTTGACTAAATGTAAAAATAATTTTTTGCAAATTTGAAGTAAGTCTTTGATTCAAGTTCGTTTTGGCGCCAATTGTCAGTCCAGTGTTGTAGTTAGTGTTGGACAAATAGGGTGCTTGATGGGGGTTCTTCGTTGTAAATTTTCTATAATAAATTAACAATTGTCGGATTTATAAATTTTTAAAATTTCACGTTCAGAAATTTTTTAATTTTAAAATTTGTAAACTCGCAAATTCAGACATTTCTAAATTTACATACTTACAAATTTAAGCATTTTGAAATTTACAAAAGATACTTTGAAATTCGCAAATTTATCTATTTTGAAATTCACAAATTTAGATAGTTTGAAATTCACAATTTTAGGTGCTTTGAAATCTGCAATCTTAAACACATTGAAATTAAATTGCCTAACTTTCGGAATTACAAATCTGCAAAATCACAGATGATGAAATTTAAAAACTTTCCAAATAACAATTTCAACATACAGTTTTTTAGGTTTATAAATTTACAAGCTCATAGATTATAAAATTTAGAAAGATTCAACATAAATACAGGAACTTTTAAATTTTCGAATTTGCAAACTTTCAAACTCTGGTGAGACCCTCTTCTTATATTGTCAACTCTTACAATTTTACTCGTGGCAATAAAATGAGATGTCACTGATTTAATATAACACCCAATAACATTAATTTAACGTTGATATCTCCAATAATTTTAATTTTTGACTCGGGTTTCACAAACTCTACCAACATTATTTGTTTTACTTACTGCAATGTAATAATATAATTTTTACCATAATTTTATACATAATAATTATTTCATGTATCTACGTTACACAAAGGTTAATATATTTTTTTTGAATAATATATCAATAACATTAATAATAATTTCTGTTGAATAATACATTAATTATGTTGATAATTTTTGTAAACAATACGCTAAACAATATGCTAATAATATTAACAATCTTCCTAAACAATATGCTAATCATATTAATACTCTCCCTAAACAATATATCAGTAATATTAATAAGTTTCATTAACAATATACCAATAATATTAATAATTTTCCTAAACAATATACCAATAACAATAAATCAAATCACCATTTTTCAACAACACATCAAAATAAAAATATCAAACACGTACCTAATCATATTTTACACTCATACACTTATGAGTGTAAACTCTTACTGTCATTTAGAAAAATTGTTATACCCTTAAGAGATACTCAAACAGCACCACAGAAATTTAAGAATTGCTTACCACAGGGTAATTGGTTTGTTTACCTAAATAATTTGTTGAATACACGAAACGTCACACGATGGCGCGTAGCATAGCTCGTTTCCGGTTATCGCATAACTTATTTCATGTTATACCACTGCTTTTTGTTTTTAGAGAATTAAACCTCGATGTTTGTACACGCGTTTAGTCGTACATTTCTAATTTCCCATTTCAGAACGTTTTGCTGTCGAAAATTAGTAACTGTATACATACGTTAAACTTACTTAACAAGTAACATAAGTATTAATATAAAAAGGGGTTATAATTTCAATAAAATTGATTTTTTATCTTCAGTAAAGTTTTTCTCCTTGCAATTTCAATAATTATGCAAAACAATAATAATATACAACAATAATAATTAACAATATCCTAGTTTAATATTTAAATAATTTTTAACACTAGAATTACCAACCAGACAAAATGGCTGGTTTCAGATTTCTCAATTTTAAGCTTGCCATATTTCCAAATTTCAAATTTACAAAATTTCCAAACTCCAAGCTTTCAAACTTGCAAAATTTAAACAATTTCCAAATTTCTGCTACTTTGAAAAAAGAAGAGTTACAAAGCTATTATGTACCTGGTTACGCCACCTACAAGTACAATATAAAAATTTGAAATTTCACTCACTCTAACGTTAAAAAAAATTTACCATTACTCAGTAGATATTATACCTAATATTATAATATTATTAACACTAGAACTACCAACGAGTCAAAAAGACTAAATTCAGATTTCCCATTTTATATTAAAACTTTTATATTACCTTGATTTTATAGAAATGTGTCATATTTTGTTGAGGTAAAAACTAGTTCTATATGTTACTTGATGCTTTAGTATTTATTTATTTCCCTTTTCATTTTATTTTTCATTCTTCGATAAACGCGCATTTAATGTCGGTAGCTCTAGTGTTTATTATTTGATTTTTTATTAGGTTGTTCTTTAGTTCAATATTTACATAATTTTTAATGACTTGATTTTTTATTTTTTTGTATACACAGTTTTATTGATTAATAAGGTGGATTTAGAATGAACTTCATATTTATTGCAGAGTTTAAGTAGAAAATATGAAAAACATAGTATAATGATTTTTTTATTATTATTATATTGGTTGACAAGGTTAATTGATCTGTTAGGTGCATTAATATTAATTTTTTGGCGCAATCATTGGAATTATTGTATTGTATAGGGAATATAGGGGTAGCAGAACATAGGGATTTCGGAATATAGAGATTTTGGAACATAAGGGTATTGGAATATAGGAATTTCGGAACGTAAGGGTATTAGAATATAGGGATTTGGAAATATAGTGACAGAGGCATATAGGGATTTCAAGTTATAGGGATTTTGGAACGTAGGGATTTCGAAATATAGCGATTTTAAATTATAGGGATTCCGGAATGTAGGGATATTGGAATATAGGGATTTTGGAACGTAGGGTTATTGGAATATAGAGATTTCGGAACGTAAGGGTATTGGAATATAGGGATTTTGGACTCGTAAGTGTATTGGAATATAGGGATTTGGAAATATAGCGACAGAGCCATATAGGGATTTCAAGTTATAGGGATTTCGGAACGTAGGGATTTTGGAATATAGCGATATCAAATTATAGGAATTTCGGAATGTAGGGCTATTGGAATATAGGGATTTCGGAACGTAGGGTTATTGGAATATAGAGATTTCGGAATATAGGGATTTCGGAACGTAAGAGTATTGGAATATAGGGATTTGGAAATATAGCGTCAGAGGCATATAGGGATTTCAAGTTATAAGGATTTCGGAACGTAGGAATTTCGGAATATAGCGATTTCAAATTACAGGAATTACGGAACGTAGGAATATTGGAATATAGAGATTTCAGAACGTAAGGGTAGTGGAATATAGGGATTTTGAACTCGTAAGGGCATTGGAATATAGGGATTTGGAAATATAGCGACAGAGCCATATAGGGATTTCAAGTTATAGGGATTTCGGAATGTAGGGCTATTGGAATATAGGGATTTCGGAACGTAGGGTTATTGGAATATAGAGATTTCGGAATATAGGGATTTCGGAACGTAAGAGTATTGGAATATAGGGATTTGGAAATATAGCGACAGAGGCATACAGGGATTTCCGAGCATAGGGATTTCGGAATATAGCGATTTCAAATTATAGGGATTTCGGAACGTAGGAATATTGGAATATAGGGATTTCAGAGTGTAGAGATATTGGAATATAGAGATATCGGAATTTAGGAATATAGGAACGTAAAAACACAGGGAAATAGTTATATCATAATATAGGGATTTAGGAACATAGCGATATCGAAATACTGTGATGTACCATAAGAACATCAAGATATAAACATACTAAAATATAAATATATAGAAATTCAATAAATACAAATTCATAAACTTATAAATATAGAAATGAAAAAATAAAAGCGTCCAATAATTCAAGAAAGAAGAAGTGCAGAAACCCATAGATCTAAAGTCACAGTAGTATACAATAATAAAGAGATATACAGACTCAAAGACGCGCAAATCTAAAAATTTCGAAATGCACATATCTCGATACACATTGAACGTACATTCACGCACACATGTTCCTCTTTTATGGTACAAATACGATGTCATTCCAGCTATACCGTGGAAACTTAGTGATAACTATCTGTAACTGTTCATTGATCGCGCGGATACAGTAAATCTCGATAGTTGCAACCTCGATACTTGCAAACGAACCTCGTCTGTTGCATTTTGCCAACATATGGTAGATAGCATCGTTTAGTTAGATCGTTTAAATGAAAAGCGATAGTAGAAGACGTGTACACATGTACTTAAGTACGGGCAGGAGCGGATTTTTCTTTCGATGGTCCCCACGGTTATAAAGGTAGATGTCATCTGA